TCTTTCTGTGTGTGTGTGTGTGTGGGTGGGGGGGGCTTTTGAGGCAGGTTCACCAGTCCCGAGCACAGCCTGTCTGAGATCTCTCACATACAGCACGACCAGTTCGAAGCAACATTAATTGTTTTTGTTTGCTGCCGATGCTGCAGCACAAAAAAAAATCTTTCTCATCCTCGCAGGCAACCCTGAAAGTGGGAGGAATCATCAAAAGGCACGAAAGTCTGAGGAATCTGTGCCTCATTGCATTCCTGCTGCTGAGCTGTATGTTCATGCGTTAGCTTGTGCCAACATTTTGCACACACCCTGCAATTAAACAGTTCTTGGCCGGTGGAATCAGCTCCAATGGATATAATTGGTGTCATCCAGAAGATCTGAGATGACCCCACCACCATACACACACACACAAACACACACACACACACAGCTTGTGAATTCCATAACGTATGGAATCCAGATTTCATTGAATGTTAGAATTTGCTTTGAATTTCTATTTTGGTTTGCTCCATGGATAAATGTGGTTATTTGGGAAAAAAAATGTTTTACACACTGTATCATGTTGCACTTCCTAAAATAAAGAAACGAAGTTTAACCAGATTTGTTGGAAGACTACTTTTTTATTAGCTGTTATCACCCAGTCAAATTAAGAGATGCCAGTTAATGGACACTGTTGTGTCAGTTTCAAAGAAGTGATCTTAAAATGTGTACGACAATCAAATGAAGTAGGAACCATATAAATTGTGTTTAGAAGGTCAGAAAAAGATCTATGGACTATGCATTGCTTCCCTGCTGCTAACCAATTAATGGAAGCATCGTGTGATTGCATTCACTTATCTATTATTTGCATTAAAACAACAACGAGCTGCACAATCAAAAATATAAACCCATAAAGAAATAAATCATCCATATCTACTTTACACCACACTTTGCTCACTGTCGCATTGTGCTCGACTATAGATAGAATTATTCCACTTACTGGACATTACATTCCTGGACTTAAGAATATTTCACCCAAAATTCTATCGCTGCTACAAGTGTCAGTAAATGACAACACGGTTCTTAGTGCAACATGTGTTCACTTAGCAATGGGAAGATGCCAAGTTGACAACATGATTTGGGAGCAAGAAATCTAAACCGAGTTTCCAACGCTGCATCACTCAACGCACAAAATGTTTATTGAGAGCTGCTCTTGTGATGATTTTACTTAAACTCCTTTTAAATGAGGATTTCAAGATGCTAAGACACAATCTTCTGGAAAATAATGCAAATACTTAACAACTATAATACTAAGTGAAATAATATATTGCGTTTTGTAGTATAAACCAAATATTTAATAGCCATTGAATATCAAATTTCTCTCAAAAATCTGTAGGAACCCCTATTGAACATAAATTCAGTATTCAATTGCCTTATATCTCATTGGGCCTTTACAGATATCCTTGTGCATATATTTATTCTTTTAAGAAACATTTGATTTTATTGCATAGAATACAATTGAATGAGGTTTAAATGCAGATGCACTGCTGCAACTCCACCCCAATCATGAAAGGAGGAGTCATCCTCAGACAAGTGAGTGAGCTCCAAGTGCACAGGTGAGTGTGTGAGTCAGGTGCATTTATATTCCAAATACTCTGTCTAGTTGTTCATATTTTGTTTAGTTTGAAAAGACCCAACCTTGCAAGTGCGACACTTGGTGTAATTCTGCTGCAAACGGATCAAATTAGATCAAGTGGGAAGGAGTGTTTTAATGCTTCATACAACATACAGTGTTGCAGCAGAGAACGACCCCAACGAATCACCTTTGTTGGCAATGGGCATCCAAACCAAGTCAGAAAATATCATGGTCAGTTCAAGAGAAAAAGCGAATATTGGTGTTGATTTTTGTTCTGTTTTTGAATCAATGTTTGTTGCATTAAAGTCGTTGATGAAATAACAAGAGGGGTAGAATTGTTTTAACAACTGTAATATCATCCCTGCTGGTACTAGATTATTTATATAGGCTTGTCCTTTGGTCTAAATTGATACAAACCTAATAAGGAAGTTTGGGTGCCACAAAGGATTTGGAAACATAAATAAAACAAGTCACATCCACTTAAAACCTTCCTAGAACTGTCATCAACATGGAATTATATTTTATACCTACAATAAAGATTCTTAGCGATTAAGTCTCTCCTAATTCTGTACAATTTAGTCACGGTTGTTAATTTTGCAATGTTATTGCCATCATGCATGAAGGATTAGGAGCTCATTTCCAAGCAAATTAAAAGTGGAAGGAAAAGGGATCACACACAGCTGTGATTCCCCCCAGATGTGTCTCAACCCTCACTCAATCCACGCCTGACTGTTCTGATAACCTAGAATTAGATGGTCCTTTTTTACAGTCTGGGATTGGATTGCCCAATTCTCTGCAAGAGTGAGAGCGGGAAGGAGTAGAAACATTTAATACAGTCCAGTATTATATATGCACACAAGAGGCCAGGAAAGGAGCGACTGAAGAGAGGAACTGTTTTGTGTAATTGGTAAACAATGCAACTAAATTGGCACAGGACAATATGGGCCAACAGAAGGTTAGTGAGCGCCCCAGCTGGATGTAAGAACTGAGGAAGTATTCAGAACAGACTTGCTGGGTGGGAGTGAATGTCCCTCAAGAAAGTCCAGACAGACTTCGTACTAATGCTGATGTACAGCAACTTTTCTTCCGCCGTGAAGAGACAAATTAAATTCACCCTATGCTTTAGAAGCACAATATTATACTTAAGGACATCTCTAATAGGATACGTGTAAAGAAGGGAGACAATTTATGTTTCTGGTGTACCATTTTGAGTCTTGAAACCGACTCTGGTGGTTGGATGGGAATGAAAAATCAGCTATCGTTCAGGGTAGCTGAGCTGTGGAGCTGAATGTTTTCTGTTCTGCTGCTTACAATGATGTGATTAATACAAGTTCTTTCAAAATGCAGCACCACGAGTCTAAGGGCTGAACACTGTAACTGATTTGTTTGCTTTTGAGGATAAAGTATTAAAGGAGTTTTCTCATCCGTGCTACAATCTGTTTTCTAAAAGAGATTACAACAATGCTTTATAACTCAATGCACCAAGTAATGAATTGGTGTCCAAGTAACAAGGACTGTGGCATTTTATAGTTGGAAGTGTTCAGCACTCAGAGCCCAAAGGGTCTATTTTCAAACAAAATTGGTGCAAAGTTTATTTAACAATATTATGGTCGTTGGACTATCACTCGATGCACTATCCAGTTACAATTTTAGAATAGTTTCGTGTTGGAAATATGTAATGAAGAAAATCATTATTTTAATCGACGACAAACTATGATTTTTGCATCACAATTGAAACGCACAAAACACGTCAATTCCACAAAAACTATGATACGTCAAATATTGTAGAAAAGAATCGAGATTGACAGACCTTTCACATTCATGGACAAAACACAGTAAGTAGAAAACAAGCAATACAGCATTCTGACCATACACTGTACATTCCATTCTTCATTTTACGTTTTGAAAAAAAAGGTAGACAAGATCAATTAGCTTTTCAGAATATATTCTCATAACAGATGGGTCTGCACGTTATCGGTGTGTTTACTCTCCTTGGAATCATCCTGAACCACACAGTGGCTTTCGAAAATGGGCGAGTGACTGTTTCATGTGAAACAATGACTCCAGACCATGGGAGCACATCGCAGAGGTCACCAAGCCCCTTCATCATCAGAGTGGACAAAGATGTGTTCATCCCAGGGGATCAAATCAAAGGTACAGAATAGTTCAACAGCTTCTACATGTTGGGTTATACATTTCGGTGCATCTTTATTTAATGTTTTACAAATATGCCAAAGTGCGAGTAATGCTTTATCACATCATCACATCACAACGTCTCAAAGCGCTTTCACGTCATTTCTTGTCAAGTGTAAGTGCCTGTCCATTTGAGGAGGAGAATTGCAAGCAAATAAAGTAATAGGGTAAACATCTATTCAATTTTTTTTAAGAGCTCTCATATATTTAATTTACCACCCAAATCTACAGAAGCTTGGAAACAGACTCCAATTACAGAGACACAAACAAATTATAATAATCCATAATAATAATAATCCTTGCATTTGATATAGCGCTTTTCACGTCTTCTAGACATCTCAAAGCGCTTCACAGAATATATTGTAAAGTGAATTGACTGTATATTTGTGGGCGAACGCGGCAGCCAATTGCGTACAGCAATGTCCCACAAACAGTCATGGATTGAAAATGACCAATTTATTATTGTTTTGTTTTGGAGGGATTATTATTAGGAATATGGAGTAAGGAAACTTGCCCAAGGTTTCGTCTGGCCTGGAATTGAACCCAGGTGTCTCCCTTGCAAGGCGAGTGCTCTAACCACTGAGCTACAGGACTCCAAATTAAAACAAATGAAAGCAATTTAGCAATACACAACTGGGCCAGTTATTAATACATACTGGGACTACAAACTGAAACAGTCACACTATTACCTTGCACATCAATCATGCACACTATTACTTTGCACACCCCTCAATCATGCACAATAGAAGGAAAAAACAGGTTAAATCTCCCTATATACCTTTCTTGTTCTCATGGTAATGCTCAGAATGCAGAGCTTGGAGCAGTCAGGATGTAGAACGTCTCTTTCTTTTCTCTAAAGCTGTTTTCTCTTGGTTTCAGTTACACTTACTGGGAGACGCCCTGGAACTTCATTCGAGGGATTTCTTTTACAGGCACGAGATGCTACTGACATGAACAGCGATCCTGTTGGAACCTTTATCCTTATAGATAAGGCCTCCCAGCTCCTGGCATGTGGGAATGTAAATGTATGTGGGCAGTGTAGAAACGTTCATTTCAGCTTTTGTTACTGCCAATTAAACAGGGATAAGCCAGCTTCCTCATTTCATTGTTCAAGAAAAAAAAAGCAAATGAACTTTTTGGACTGTTATAGTCAATTAAATATAGGCATTTTGTTGATCATTTGCAAATCATTAAAATATAGTTTCTACAGATAAATTAGTAAAATCCTGACTATATCTCTTGATATGTATGTAGTAGGGCTCGGTGGTGAATTGACTGGATGTTTTGTCCTTGTTTTTCTCATGTAGGACTCGGCAGTCAGTCACACAAGTTCATCAGGAAAGCACACAGTCACAGTACTGTGGAATTCACTCACTGTAAAGAGAGACCAGGTGCAATTTCTGTAAGCATAACTATTAATATAGTTGTATTATATTAATATAACATCATACATGGATTGTATATAATCTTCCATTGTCATGATTCAACTGTTATCATTTTCACCAGTAATTGTTCATTACAAGAAGTGTGAGTGCAACACAGTTTGGCTAAGTTTACCAAACTGTTGAATTAATTATGTCTCCCATAGTGATAATTTCCCTGTCTCTATCAACAGAACGATATTTCAAAGTGGTGACAAATTATATGTTAAGCCCTTCAGAAAATATTAGCTGTCCCTCAACACAGTTCCATCCATGCTTTTTTTTGCTGGAAGCAACAGTACAAAAAAAACTAATTCTGCCTTAAGTATCCTATGCAGATCACACAAACACATCAGTCGTAGCTGAGCAGTAATTCTAGAGGAAAAAAAACATTTGGAGAGAAGTGTGCAGCATAACAATCACATTTATTCTGTTGTACATTTAATATTTCATGTGATTGATGGACTTTAATAATGAAATAAGACAAATTCTAAATGCTAGTGTTTTAGCGAGAATCTGACTAATAATATAAAATGATTTGTGTGACCATGGTATGGCTGAGGAAAGTGAGTTCAGTACCTTTAATTCTTGGCTTATGCAGTTTCTACACTAAGAAACACACTGAATATTTTTTGTAGCTCTTCAGTTCCAATCTCTTTATTCCAGAGTCACAGTAGTTCAGAAATTCAACACCTACTGGGTGCAATTACATGGCCCAGTAGTTTCACAACTGAATGCATCTCCACTGCCAATACAGACTCCATTAACTGTTCCATCTTCTGTTCAGCTGTCTAAACCAGTAAGTATGCTCACAATAAATTATAGGGAGGAAAGGAAGGACGTTTAGGAATTAATTTGATCGAAAATAAATCCTTAAGTAAGACTTCTGATGATGACTCATTTTAATGAGCTCAGTGTTACACAACATCTTAATTTCAATGCGCTTGGAAAATTGGAAATCGAATTGAAAGGCCAGTACAAAATAAAGTGCAACACATTATTTAGCAAGACACAAGATCAAAGCATTGAAAAGGTCAAATTTCTCTTCAGGTTGACCTTTTTGAATGCGGGCTAATTAATTGAAGATAGATGAATTTTGCATTCCAGACTAGTTTTTTTTTATTGGCTCCATATTAGATCTTCCCTGGATCAATGACGACATGCTAATTAGTTTATTTTCTGAGTTAACACTAAATCAGCTGAACCCTTGCAAACAGTTGCCACCAACAATTTTTGTTGGGTTGAATAATATTTCATTCCAGCAGAGGCACGTCTGGGCCAATTTAAAAAAAATCTTTCCGCCTTACGATCTATTAGGAAGATACAAGAACAAAAACAACAACAACTTGGATTTATATAGCGCCCTCCACGCCGGACGGCGTCTCAGAGCGCTTTACAGTTTCGGATCCCGGGACCGAGCCCAGGGGGAGGGTAGGGGGGGGGGGAAGGTGACCAAAGGCGCGGTCGAAAAGAAAGGGTGGGGAGGGGAAAACAAACAGCCCCATAAAACATCAGGCAATTAGGTTTTCTTCCCCCCTCAAATCAATTATTTTCTCTGTGTGTTATCTTATTGTCAGTTCAACGTGACAGAATGTGGCAGCCAGAGTTTCTGCCTGCGGGACCCACCTGGATGTGACCCTGAGACAGATCAAACCTGCTGCTTCTTCTCCTTTGCTGTGCAAGGCAGATCCGTGCTGTTCCAGCTGAGTGGTCCTTCCCAGGGCTATGTGTCTTTTGCACTCTCAGGTGACCAGTCGATGGTTAGTATTGCAATTAATGAAAGATTTCCTCAAGCCTTGAAACATGGCAGTTGCGAAATATTTTCAGTGCTTCCAAAACAAAGCAATAACGTCTTCTTGTTTTTTTGAGTTCTACTTTATTTACTTGAACAATGGATTTCAAGCTAACACAGTAAATAGTTTGAACATGTCTAAAGTGGCTGTTATAACTTCTTCTTACTCTGGGTAGGGAGAGGGGAAACATTGAACCAAATGCATTATTTTAATGTCAAATCCTGCTGATGATCCTATATTCCTTTTGCATGGACTTTGCACCAGAACTACAGTCTACTGTAGCTGTAGTACTATAATCTGTTCAGTAGATGATGCTAATAGCAAGTGCATAGTGTTGAGATGCTTGGTTTAAAAAAAATCAAGTACATTGCATGCATTTTAAAATATTTTCTTCTGTGTGCATTGTTTTCAGGGGGCAGATGACATTTATTTATGTATTGTCATTGATCAAAGCATCCAGATCCATCCTGCTCATTCCACTGGGCGCTCTCACCCAATTCTGAACTCACAGGTTGGTCGAACTATGTGGCCTTTTCTGAATATATTGACAATTTCTATGTGACTATTGTTTTCATAAACAAAAGGGTAACCTATTATCTATTTTCCTGCAATCCCCAGCTGAAATGTTTCATTTCCAATTTCAAAGTAGAATTTCAAAATAAATAAGTGTTAGGAATTAAAAATAACCATTTGGGAATGTCTCTTCCACAACTATTACAGCACATGTGTTGAATGTACATGTATTTCCACATGCTAAAAGGAATCTGAGTTGTATGGAAAGAAACAGTACTGAACTTAACTCCCTTGTGAACTTGAAAGTTACTTGGTCTGGTGTTACTCAATCCCCATAACTTACCGCTCCCCTGCAGTGAAGGCTTTATTACTGCAGATCAAATGCTCTGACAACAGATCTGAAATGTTAATAATAATTTAGTGCTTTATGATGGATTTCGGCAGGTTTCTATTTATGATCTGGCTTGGAGGTTGGAAGATGGTGTGATCAAGTGTTCGTTCAGAAGAAATATCCAGCTTCCTGAACACAGTGAACGGTTTGATCTGGATAAGCACTATTACATATTCTTAGCAGAAGGGAGAGCTGAGAACGGTGAGTCTGCTCCTGGATGGTGTATTAGTATCCATTGTTCACAGATGCTGCAAAGCGCACGGTAAAATATTGGGTAACCTTTTTTTGTCGCTCTTCACATTCTTATGATTATTTCAATAACACTTGTGCTTGAACAGATTACACTATTGTTCTGTTCTCCAATTCTAAGAAAGTATTGAAAGTGATAACATCTTAAAACAGAGGCGATATTAGTGAATTAACAGGACCCCAGCGACACCGTCAAATTATTTAAATTCTCCATCTAGATGAATATTGAGTAGGAAAATTAATTTACATCAATCAGTAAAGGTTATATGTTTTTCATTAATTTAAAACTGCATAAGTTCCCATTATTTTCTAGAAAATGATTAATGAATCCCAGGGAAATCTTTTCTCAATCATTCCCTGACAGGGTCTTTTATATAATTCAGGAGATATAGCCCTTAGTCAGTGATTACTGTCTTGCGGTATATAAAGGCTGCGGTGCTTGGGGAGCTAGACGTGTGATCTGAAGTGATATCATTGAATTAACAGGACTCTAGTGACACTGCCAAATCATTTTGTTCTTTAGCAAGATGAAAATTGAGAATGGAAATTAATTTACATCAGCCAGTAAAGGTTATGCATATTTCATTAATATAAAAAAAGTGCCATTTCCCATTACTTTCTAGAAAATTATTTACTTAATATATTTGTGAACTGTATTTGGGACCTATATCCCTTTGCTTCCCTGAAGCAATTCCTTCCCCATGGTAGACATTATTTTCTCCCTCCGGCTTAGGTTCCTGGACCACGCACCATACAACAACAGCAACCACTTGCATTATATAGCGCCTCTCATGCAAGGTAGGGTCCCAGAGCTCTTGAAGGTTAGGCAGTCTGCTTGGTTCCAGACCTTTGCTAATGCTGTTTAGAATCAGCCACCAGCAAGTGTGCAAGCCAGGGTTTCAAGTTTGTTTTCAGCTCAGCTCAGCATTTGTTAGGTCAGTCAAGCAAAACCTGAGAATCTACCTTGTGGAAAATTACAGACAGTGAAGCCACATACCACACGACCTCTCTGGAGTCAGTACAGGAACATATTGTACCAGTGGACTGAAATTCCAATCCACATTATGCACCTTCAGCGATGTGTGGTTATAATGACTAAATCCCATCCCAGGCCAACAATATCAAGGCGTTTTGCAGAACTGAAGTCCTGATGGAATTATAGCTAACACATGTCAAAAAAAATCCTAATAATCAAGCGAAAAGGGGCTCTCACATTGACCAATTACATATTACATGCATTTTGTTTGTAACTTAAACAGACAGAGGTGAATCCAGTCCCTTGGGAAGTCCTCATGTGAAAGGCATTATACAAATGTAATTTTGTATTGTATTATATTTGATAAACGCCAATCTGATGGTAATGAACTAATCTTTGTTGCCTTGCCTTCCTGTAAAGGAAACATTTAGAGATGTTGGGAGAACTGATGGGTAGCAGTGCTAATAATTCCGTGCACGTTATAAGTCCATTCTTGCTTTTACTGTTGTTGTTTAATTTCACTTTTATTCGAATAAATATTTATTGTAAAGGTAACTTCCACTTGGTTTGTTTTCTGTTGTTGATTGCTTTGGGGGATATCGTGTTATTTATTTGGGTTTACTTCTTACATTTTCTTTCATTAAATTATAGTTGTATTTATGTTATACTTTGAGGTGCACCCCAGGCCATTGTAATATCCAAGTAAGTAATAAATAATTGCTAAGCCTGCAGACTAGCAAAGTAAGTATTTATGTGTTGTCTTACACTAGGACGAATTGAAAAACATCACCGCCAGCCACTGATCACACAGACGAAAGTTTACTTTGCAGGAGAACCCAAGGAGATAACTGGCTCCCGATCCCCACTCTCCATCAAGGCTCACGGCAAGTTTCTTTTATTTTCTTCGGTCTGACAATTACAGATGTTACGGAAGAGATGCCTAGAGTTTGCCTTCAAGTTTAAGTTATTTTTAAAGTTTCCCAACGTATTCACACATGGGGAATGCTTTGCCACAAGTGATTACTGAGGTTGATACTACGACAATCGAGAAAATAGAGAATTGACAACAAAAGAGAATTGGATGAACATCTAAAGAAGAAGAATATAAAAGGGTGTTAGGAAAAGAGCAGGGAATTAGGATTACAGTATCTGTTCCAGTGGGGGAGTAAGCACAAGTGTAGGCACGATGGGCTGCATGGCCTCCTATTATGCAATTACATATTCGGACATTATTTTAGGCTGTTGGTGAATGAAGTAAAAGTGTTGGATGTGGGCAGTGGTTTAGGAATTTGGGAAGAAAAGCAAGTCATTTGATCCATCAGGCATGTCGCACCACACACACTGTATTTTCACCAGGGACTTGTGTTTGAATGCATCTCAGGCTAGTGCTGTGCAATCTCCTCTCTCTTCCAAGGAACCAATAAATGATAACAGTCAGTTTTCTATTTCATCCTTAGGAGCTTTAATGTTTATCGGGTGGGTGACTACAGTCAATGTTGGTGTTGTTGTAGCTCGCTTCTTTAAACCTGCCTGCCCAACCAGGACACTGTTTGGAGAAAGGCTTTGGTTTCAGGTAAATGATATCACTAATAAGAAATGTTAATATATCTTCAAATTTAGCTTTGGCTGATTGTGCCCTTCTATTATGTAAACATATACATGTAATATAAATTATATTTACTATTCTGTTGAAATAACTGGTATATTTGGACGTAAAGTTAAAATCCTTGCTTTCTTAAAACAATATATTGCATGCACCTTTTCAAAGAGCCAGTACAGACACGATGGGCCGAAATGTTTCAGTGTATAGATGTACTTTGCTATATTGTTGTATTACACACATATATCTAACATGTAGAATAGTTTGACTTGTTTGAAGGTTGAACTCTATGACTTCTTCTTTCGAACATGTCACAAATTGTAGCCACTCATATGAGCTAACGTAACTGTTAGCATTTGTTGAGGCATACAGAGGCATTGTCAGGTCACATTCACATTTTAGCAGGGAGTATTGCATGCCTCATAAGAAATTGCGATCAGATATAATGAAGGTCAAGCCACCCATTGCAAGGTTAGAATTCTGTGCTATGTTCCTTGCTTTAGGTGCACCGGATACTGATGGGAACCACAGTGCTGCTCACATGCATTGGATGTATCCTCCCTTTTCTGTACAGGGGTGGCTGGAGTCATGTAAGTCCATTTTTATACCGACTTGCAGTGAGAAATGGAAAATAATTGCAAGTGGAAATCCAATAAATCTAAAAGGAGATGACAGTTGACAAGTTCTATAATAGGTTTGTAAGCAGGCTTTTAAAAATAAAAGAAGCTCACCGTCAGATTCAGTCAGCTGGATGTCAAAGTCTGCCAGTGCATTGCACATTTCAGGTCAACTATTGTTTGGAACCTAATAGAAGCATTTTCTCCGACTCTGAAACTACGAATCTGAATTCACACTTGCTTCACATTGATCTACAATCTCCACTTCAAACAATTCATGATAGAAAAAGCATGAGGGGCACTTCTATTAACTGGAGCAATTCCAGTTAATACATCTTCACTTTTTCTTTAGATCCATCACTATTCTTCAAATTACTGTACTGAATTAATCACAATTGTGATATACCCGAGGTCATCATTTATGCTGTTGAGCTTAAACTGGACACTGCACGGAGAATGTAAATACCAAAGTATTTTCAGTCTTATGTTTTTTTGCTTTGTTCTTGATGTTCAATTTTTGCTTATTTTGGTTTAAACAGTCACTTGAAGGAAGTGTTTTGGGGGATTTAGTAGATTACCAATGGACGAATGCTGAATTAAATTTGGTAGCGAAAGAGCACGGTGGAATGCAGCTGGTCAGAGCTGAATAATAAAGGATGTAAGGTTAGACTAATAGTCAAGTTTTCCTGGGGCATCCAGACATTGACATAGGTTAATCTTCTTGGAAGCATTTCTTATTGCTATTCCCGTCTTTCAGGAGGGTAAGCAAGTTGAGTAAAGTTCATGGCAAAATTATATTTGGACAGTGGAATAACCAGAATTGGTAGGCCCTTCACTTGTTCCAGAATTTCTTATGATATTAAATTTGCTCTTTGCTTCTGGTGGGAGGGCCTTTTCCTGCCGGTAGATGGTGCTATTGTGATAAAATAGTTACTCAATCGTGAAGCAAAACAACATTTGCACATATGGACTGGCAACACTCTCTGGTAACTCTTGTATCTCCCCTTTAACCTGTTAAACCTCCTCGCTTGCTACAATACGTTCCTTAAAATGCGGAAAAAAAAAGAAGCCGTTAGATTCATTAAACTCAGCTGCCCTGTCAAAAGGTATTTAATAAATTGGGGTTTTGGAGCTATGGGCATGTACCATAACCTTTTCATTGAAAGCTCAGAACTCAGCCTTAGAGAAATAATTCAGTTCAACAAAATGAAGTTCTGTGTTAATTTACTAAATATTTAAATCACACCATATGCAGTTTAAATACACTTTCCTAAGAAATATATATCCGAAACCAGACTATAACTCTTAATATACCAAGTCACTTCCCGTTCATTCACAATGTAGAGAATTCCTAGTTCTAGCACAGTAGTTAATTAAAATATTCTAATGCAAAATATTCTAACATAAGATGTTCCAGTTATCTCCTTTCTTCCTTCTCAGTGAACTGAATATGCTCCTTATATACTGAAAGCAGTCAGTACACATTGTGCTGAGTTAGGTGTTGACACAGTGGATGGCCTGTACAATTTTCCGATAATTCAGTAAATAAATGAAGTAATGGAATTTATTAACTTTCCTCTCCTCAGCATGCAGGGGCTCATCCATACTTTGGATGTGCGGTTCTTACATTGATAATTATTCAGCCGATTCTTGCTATCTTCAGGCCTCACCCACAAGCACCAAGGTAAGCGCAACAATATATGTGGATTTTAATGATCTAATTTACTGCACTATTTTGAGGCACTTTTTCAGGATATCCAATAGCTGTTGTCCATAACAAACAGTGGAGTCCTGTAGTTTAGTGGTTAGAGCACTCACCTTGTAAGTGAGAGGACCTGGGTTTGATTCCTGGTAGGGCAAAACATTGGGCAAGTTTCCTTACTCCACATGCCTCTGCTTACCTAGCAGTAAGTAGGAACCTGCTTGTTAGTCGACTGGTGGATTGCTTTTCCGGGGATAATAATCCCTTCAAGTGATCAGGGTAGTTAGCTACAAACTCATTAAACCATCCTCAAATAAATATTAAATGTAAATTTTCTATATCGCTAATAAATAATTTGTTTGAGAAGCCTTTTAATATTGACTATCTCTTAAAAAAGGTATGTACATGTGTTATTATTTGTCTTCTGCAGAAGGTACATTTTTGACTGGACACATTGGGGTATGGGGACTGCTGCTAGAGCAATAGCACGTGAGTATGTAAATTCTGTGAAAGTAACACAGATCACTGGGATTAAAAGGAACCATTGGAAAAAAATAATGTTAGGTGAGTTAAGTTTTAATTATAATTAAGTTTTGTTTAGCACACATATCACAGATATTATAGCTCATGGTCTAATGGCACAGCACTTGAGTGTGCTGACTTGTGAGTCAGGTATGTTGCTATGTGGTAAAATTCTCATCTCAATAAAATTACTGAAGCATCGACAGAACCATTAAACTTGAGATCTTGGCCTTGTCCACAAGGAGTGATAGAACATTGGAAAGACAACATATACTTCTTTATGTACTCTGAACTAACCAGTTCAAGATACCACTATCACAGCCCTGGGGCCAGTTTCCACCTCAATCTCTCAGCCGTGGATGGTGATGGATGTTAAAGGGCCAAAACAAGAATCAAATAATCCTAAACATTGGAGGAAAATTAAAGCTGCTAAATAAATAGTTACACTGAAAACTGTTCAACCATAATTTTAAAGCTCTTTAAAGGGCTTTGGGTTTTCCAGCAAAAATGGTTGATTAATGTTTTTAATTTTCAAAATACATTGCCCAATAATGTGTAAATCATTAAAATATCATTATGCCACTTGCAATACAAATCACATGCAGCCCTTTAACCTGATTGACATTGAAGTTAGCCTTATTTTAACAGAAGAAGCTTTTTAGTTATTTCAGCAATGGGTAACAGCTGAATTGAACCATACCAGTCAGGTGGTAGAGACCTGAATAAAACCTACCGTATAAATTGACCACAACAAACTGATCAGCCATTTCCATTGTATGTTCTGTTTGTGTAGTTGCAGCAATGTTCCTTGGAATGGATCTCCCGGCCTTAGATCTCCATAACCCATGGGATACATCAGTCATGGTTGGATTTATAACTTGGCATGTTATGACAGAACTAATTCTGGAAACACATAATTATTTAACGACTTATAAAGGTTAGTGTTTCTCTTTGGTCATTTGGTACTCGTTTTATGTTCTCATTGTCATGTGCTAACGTCAGAAGAAATTGGTGGGTATAAAAATGCTGCCATAAAACATTCTAAAGAGATTCTGAGGAAAGTAAAAGGTGCCTCAAGAGTGGCAAAACATGAAGGTAGCCCACAAAGTTTGCACAAATATATAGTTGTGCCATGAGGATTAAGAGAACATAATCAATCTTTTCGGTGTGTTCCCCCAAAGGGGGATATCTATCTTGTAGGTGTGTGTCAAAATATAGTCACTACACTTTACAGCATAGCCTGTGAAGCTCTTTACAGGATAGCCTGTGAAGCTCTTAGCTCCCTAACATGAAAGCTATATCAAACGCGAGCATTATTGTCATTTGTTGTTTGTAGAAGGTGAAATACACATTGTAAGGTGCTCTTATGCCCTAACGTTAATTTCCTGGAGGAGTCTGCCAATTTTATTTATCCTTTAAGTTGTACATTTGATTTTCAGGAACAGGTTTATAATTTATAAAAATAATTGAATAGGTTAGCAGTACGCCTTTAATTTGACTGTATAATGTAATGGAGCAATTATAGTTATTTTTAAATATATATATATTCCCTTCAAATAAAAAAATGATTACAACATAGGCTTTGCTTTTGAATCCTACTTCAAACGTGCCTTGCCGAGAATATATTTAGCACACATAATTGTGTAAAATGACATCCTAGCTGGTGGTCAAATTGGTCTTTTAATTATCTTGTGCTGATCTTTTATGTTTGTATTTAATTCATAGCAGAAACTGCAAACTTGCTGTAATCAGGGAGATGGGAGCACTTCAAACACTTGACATCTGGTAGAGGGTTAATAATAATAATCCTTGCATTTGATCTAGCCCCTAATCACGTCTTTGAGACGTCTCAAAGCGTTTCACAGAATATACTGTAAAGTGAATTGACTGTATATTGTGTGGGCAAAACACGACAGCCAATTGTGCACAACAGTCGTGGAGTGAAGTGACCAATTTATTATTATTTTTACAGCAGTGATCCAGCCTGAATGTTCAATTGGAACTTCCCTCTGGTAGTAATAATAATTATTATTCTATATAATTATAATAAGACGAGCCATGATCTCATTGAGTGGCGGGGCAGGCTCGAGTGGCCGAATGGCCTACTCCTGCTCCTAATTCCTATGTTCCTATGTTTCTGTCACCTGAACTGACTTTCCATTTTGTGCTCCTCCATAGCCCCAATGCAAACATCGTCTTCAATGCACTGTGTGAACTTTATTATGATAGGTAGGCCATCACCAGAATGATTTAAGCAAATTTCAGATTTTTAAGTCTAAGGTATCTACATACTTGCATATGTAAAGGATAAGATTGTTGGAAAACTAAAATTTGCTCAACCAACTGAGACCGTCTAAGCCAATAGCTACTTATTTAAATTAAGCTTATCAGGACTGACAACGGTAGCAGAGTTGTGATGGACACATTGATACTTGTGACTATGAAACTCTTTCATGCATATCTTCCAGCTACTTCCCAATTCCTGGTAAAGAAATGTAACAAAGAAAATCTGAAAAAGATATGCATTTAAACTGAATAACACACATTATCTCATCCTTTCCCAGAACTCGAAGCAAAAGAGGACAAAATGAACATAATGGTTTCAAATTCAGGCGAACTGAATAACTTGCAGGTACACGCTTTACAGTTTAGTTTTTTTATTAAAGGAATTTTTGCCAGACCAGAAGTACAGAAAATGCCATTGATTTTTCTTGTAAATCACAATGTACTGCAGTACAGTATGAAAGTAAACTCAATTTGAATTACTGTTTAATTCTGCCATTACAGGCTCATAGATTTAAGAAGATTGTATTCGTAATCTACATCTGTGGAAATTTAACATTTCTAATAATGTTCCTGGTTGCAATTTGTTTGGTCTGATGGTCATCTGGATGCTTCCTACAACTGGTCTTATCTGATTGTCATCTTGACTCTGCCTATTATTATGGACTGAATTATTTGTTCACTCAAATTTCAAAATTATAAAAGGAATGGTACCTTCTTAACGAGCTTATTTTTTTCAATTCCACAAATTACTCCAGTAACTTTGTACTACAGACGCATAGTTTGATAACACTTTAAAAAAAAATATTGGAGCTCAATCATTTTGTGAAAATATCAGGCAGTACTTGTCCACTTTTGTATTAAAATGTGCGTTGCTTTTGTAGTTTAAGATTAACAATTTAACTTGTTGGAGGCAAGTGATAAGTTTCAACCAAGTACTAGCAAATTTGCTGAATAGCAAAGTTTTATTCTTTAAAACGTTTAAGTAGTGTAACGTGCTGAATTGGTTCAATAATACATATAGGAACATAGGAACAGGAGTAGGCCATTCAGCCCCTCGAGCCTGTTCGTCCTGACGTGAATGGCATGTTGTTGCGCCATTCTATCGGATCATGGCTGATCTGTATCCGAATTCAAAAATGAAAGTTAAACAATTAAAACAATAAATTGTGTGTTCTGAAATTCACAATGTCTCATTGCATTTTTTAAATATATATACTTGTACTTCACAAATACATTTACCATTGAAATACAGGGTGATTTAAGTATTTGCTCCACGGAATTATTTAGTTACCAGTTCAGCAAGTGGATTTTGTACCCTGGGGTAAAAAATAACATTCTATTGTAGCTTGCGCAAACATTGATGTATGAAGCTCACAATGCATCTGTTATTAATAAAATGTATTTGGAACAAAGTGGTGATTTTTACGAGGTTAGTAATTATTGTGACGTGGGATGATCTAACGCGATTTTGTTTTAAGTGTTTAAAAAATGTTAAATGCTTTCCAAATGATGGAAACCTAATAAACCATTGTTAATCCAGTTTGCAAGTTGTTTGGAAGACAGTATTTCTTTATGTGTTCATTAAGCCAACACTTTGGAGGGGGAAACAGACTCTCTCTGTTGGGCAAGTCTTTCATATAATGAAATGTGTTACATTATTGAAATGTATGATACATTTATTGAAATGTATTACACGACTATTGAAATTGCAAATACATTATATGTTCAGAGTAATCACTCTAATGTCACAAGGGGCAACATTACAAATGAATCAACTCTCTGAAAGGAAATACCATCTCTATGCGTGAAAAATGAAGTACAAGATAAAAAGGCTTCATGTCCTGATGGCCGTGGCAGTCAAGGTGTAAATACAGTATTAAACAATCAGAAGCACAATGCGTTTAGAATAAAGACACAGAGGAATACTATGGTTCCCGGACTAGATCAATGAATAACACTATCAAGGTCGTTCAGATCCTCAAAGATGGAAAAGGGGACCCATTTATTTAATTTCCAAGCCTAAAATGGTACCCAAACTACATTGTTAGGTTAAACTATATTATTATTATATTGCTATTTGAGATTGTTTGATACCTTCTTTCTCTCATGTATGTCGGACATCACAGAACATATTGACTTATTAAGTTCAGCTTTCATATAAAAGTCAACAACTCTTCGTAACAAATGGCAATTTAGCATTACCCTCCCACTCTTGTCTTACGTCGGTTGCTTAACTGAGACGTCTTAGCTGAGCCAAACATTTGTGGAGTTTAGTTGGCAGAATCAATGCCATCCATTTTCCCCTGGTCCCAATTCTTTCTGAGCAGCAGTGCATTAAAAACCTGCCCTGATGGTAAGAAAGGAAAATTATTAACAGGGCTTCTCTTTGCAGCTGCTTTATCTTTTTTCCCCCAAAATAGAAATATGAAACACTGAATCTTTCAGTCTATTATGCACTAAAACATGCTTGTAAACACCTTCACAATTTTAAACTTTTTGTATTAGGCTATTAATAAATTTCCATAAACATTTGCAAATTGTGCTATATTTATCAAGTTGAACTTTAAAGTGGTTTTAGGCTTATGTAGAAATTACTGCAGTGATTATACAGCTCATTCCACTCAATTCTGAATTCTCAATCGTTTTCTCTCTCTGTGATCAGACCATGTCTAATGATTAGTCTATAAAACTGCTACAAAAAATATTTAAGCAACATCCAAAATAGATGATCTATCATTAAAGTATAACTTCATAGTTTGAGAAAGTTTTAAATAAATGAACATCTGAATATATTTTTCAACAAGTCTGAGACACATTTGGGATTGGTAACACAACTTGTCTTTGGGCATCCTTGTAAGTGGACCAGTTTTAGGGCAGTTTCATTGCTGCAATATCAATTTGAACTTCTATTCTTCTACGAGTAAAGCTATAATTCATTATCTTGGTCGTCAGCGAATATCCCAGCTTCCCAGCGCAGAGCCATGGCATTCTTACGATGTGTTTTTCTTGTTTCTGTGTTCTGTGGATAAATGGCACAATAGATTGTTAGTTTGTTCACGAATACCACTTGTTGGTCTCCTCCCCTCTCCTCTCCAAACAGATAATTGACAATGAAAAACCTTCATCAAAACTAAGAATTATTTTTTCTGCACACCCCACCTACAAAATTCCGTATTCTTTCCCCGAACACACACAACAACAATTTATATAGCGCCCTTCACATCGGACGGCGTCTCGAGGGAGTTTCAGTATGTAAGAGAAGACGGGAAAGACTCGAATGAATGTGGAAAAACAGCCCAAATAAAAGCACTTCAAATCCATAATCCACAAGTAAATATTTTGTACAGAAAAAAAATCTTTTGTATGTATGATTTGTGGATCCCGCTAGCGTAGTGGTTAGCGCACTGGCCTCAATTCCCTTGGGTTCAATTCCCGGGTAGGGCGAAACCTTAGGCAAGTTTCCTTACTCCACGCACACGACTCTGTTTACCTAGCAGTAAGTAGGAACCCGCTTGTTAGTTGATTGGCGGATCACTTTTCCAGGGGTTAATAATTCCTTAAAAAAAAATAAGAATTTTGTCACTCACTCAATCCACGACTGTTTGTGGGACACTGCTGTGCAAAATTGGCTGCCACGTATCGCCCACAAAATACACAGTCAATTTACTTTAAAGTATATCCTGTGAAGCACTTTGAGATGTCTCGAAGACGTGATAAGGCGCTATTTCAAATGTAAGGATTATTATTACTATAATTATAATTCTCTAAAATGCAGATGTAGGATGTCAAATAGAATGAGCAAACGGTAGATGTTAACATTGGACTGATGGATACACTACTTGAGTTTCATCAATTTTGTCTGTTGCAGACCTTAAGGCTGTGCACTAGATGATGGGGATAGTATTTTAAAAAATATACATATGTGATGCTAAGGTAAATAACTTTTTAAACAGAAGAGAATGTAGTTTTGGAAGAGAGTTCCAGAGGGCAGGGAATGGTGTTTGAACCAGCAGTTGTTAAATATTATCAGATGGCCAACAGAGGTATTAATTTTTATTGGCTCTGAGGGTTACAAATGAAAGAATTACTTACTTTACTGCAGCTAGAAATATCAGCTACATTCCTATAACTGCAACAACCACATACTAGAGGTACGTCCTTAGCTTTAAATCTAATTGTTAGAAGAAAAGTACCGTGCTATCATTTTTCTTGAGAATGGATTCGGCCTTTTCAAATTTCTGTGCCAGTTTGTGCAGTCTGCCTAGCTCCATCATTGCAGACATGGGAGACGATGAAGAAATGTTAATGCTTTCACAATAACCTGCAAACAAAATTGTGAGAATCATAAGTGCATGGTAGAAAATCTAGAAGACGCACTCCACATCCTGTTGCTATTATTCCAAACATAGAGACAGTTCTCCAGTTCTTTTCTTTCAAAGTTTAACTGACTATATAGTGGAACTCCAGTCATAGAAGAAAAAGTGAGGATTGGCTAAAGTTCTTTTGATTTTCTGAACGGAAAATACTGTGCATTTAATTCCATCAATGTTTACCTGGGCAAAAATTTTCGCTTGAAGTTGGTGATGACAAGCAGCTTTCAGCAGATGTTGGCATTGCACACAGGCTGTATCTTTGCCTCCGGAGTTCTTCCTCTCGCTCTTGTACCTTCTTGATCTCCTGGTCAAGAATAGATCCACTTGAGCGGAGTTTGAAAAAAGGATTGTTTTGCACGGTGACCTCTGCATTAGTTGCTGACGCAGAAGACAATGAGAAGTCAGAAGAACTCCGAACAATAAGATTCGGTGTCCCCAATATTATAACATTTCCAGTTTCTGAAGGCCATTCATTTGGGTTTTTGGCTTTGGGTGGGGCAGCATACGATACCTTTTCTTCTCCAGGCAATATCATTGCGTCATTTTCCAAGATAATAACATTTGAAAGTTTAATTTCGTTATATGAAGGACTTTTGTTCAATGGGGATTTCAGCAAAAATGAAGAGGAAGTATTAATGTGTGGGATTGTAATTGGTGGCAAGGTATTCCTGGATGTTGACAGTGGGGTAACATATTGCTGCTCAAAGACTTTTTTTCTTGCTTCAATCTCTGGAGATAAACCTTCGTTATATGTTTCCCTTATCTTCCCCTGTCTGACAAGATCCTCTTCTCTCTTGCGCTCAAATAATATTTCGCGCTGCATTTGCATCTCAGCAAGTTGGTTGTTTTTAACTTTTGTTGAAGGAGAAGAATTGGGCTGTAAAACAAATGGTGGACTTTTTATCTCTACATATTCTCCAGAGCAAGTGTGTTTTGTGATGCCTCTGGCCCTTCTTAGACTTTCCTCCCGCTTTATATTTCGCCGGATCTCTTTTTCAATTGGGGTTTCAACTTGTCTTCTATGTACCAAGGGCACAAAGCTCGGAGTTTCAGCTAGAAGTGCTTGTGATCTGTGAGCTGACTCATCCAGATAAAAATCATTCTCTTCGGAACTAACACTAAAAGCATCAAGTTTTAATGTCAAATTCTGGTCCAAATCGCGCACCAAGTCATTGTTCTCTTGGGATGCTAATATGTCCTCTTCTTTAGTTAGATTTACTGAACTGCTCCAGTAATTAACATCTGTATCAAATATGCTGCCTACCAAATGATTATTTCTCCCTTTATCTTTGGGGAAGTTTACAGATGTAGGATATGGATACGTTCCTTCCTTTTGCATTGAATTACTAACCGAAGAGTCACATCTTTTCTCTTTCACATTAATACATTTTGTTTTCAGTTGATTTTTCGGTTGCTTGAATGGAGTCTGACAGCTCTGAGATTTGCTTGTCTCTTCGATCATCAACCACTGTCTACGTGCAGCTGCAAAATCCACATGTTCTGTATCCACATTTTCATTTGTCAGCTTCTCAGAATTGCTTCTCTCTCCTGGGGTTTGCAGATCCCATTGAATTTTACTTGCCTTGGATTTACTTTGAGCTTCATGCCTGTCATTAACATTATCTGTGGCTTTTTTGGCCTGCAAATCAGTGCCTTCTAATTCATAAGAAGTTCTTTCAGTATCATCCAGAATTTGAACTGATTCATTTTCCTGCATAAACTCAACCTGCTCATTTATCTTTGGTAAATATTTCTCAACAGACCTGAATTCTTTATAGACAGTTTCGGATTTATCTGCACTATTTTCTATTGGTGTCGAGATCAGTGAAGGTTCATTCGGAATAACAGATAAAATTGGTTCCATCTCATTTTCATAAATTGTACTCTCACTTAACGTTTCTTTTATGTTGCTGGTAAAGCAACGTTGTATTGCTCCATTTGGATTAATGGTGAATAGATTAACAAGATGCTGTTTATCCAGGCTAGTTGCATTTTCCACCATCAGTTCAGTTGTTGAGACATTTTCCACATCTTTTTCGTTTCCACTGTTTTCTGAGCATTTTTCTTCCATTTCTTCATCTAGATCGATGATGGCTGGGCTTCCAGTTGAATTGTTCTCTGATCCAGTATCTGAGCTAATTTCTGTCTTTTCTACAACCTCAGTTATAGTTTGGAAGGTAACCATTCTTCCCTGGTTATCCTCAACTAGAGCTGTTGGACTTTCGGAAAATCTATACTCTTCCTGGTCGCCCTCAGAATCCACTGTTGTATTTTCAGTCACTAAAGATGACTGACTCTCAGTGTCACTGGCTCTTTGTACCAACTCTTCACAGGCTAAATTTTTATCACTGATCTCATTGAGTGCTGCCCTCAAGAAATCTACAGACTGCTTGTTTTCAAGAATGTCAAATGAATCCCCTGACATTTTATAAGCTGGAATGGTTTTAAATTCCAGTGGCGTATGTGCCAAGTCTTGTTCTGGTTCTAGGAGTTCTTGATTTATGCAGTCTTTATCCTCACTACAGTCTCCCTCATTTGTTTCTTTCACATTTTCTGCCATCGCAGGTTCTGCAGTTCTTGAATAAATATTCATGATTTGCTCTGTTTCCTTTAAGCCCAAGTATTCTTCTTCAGTAACTCCGCTAACCTTCTCTGGGTAAACAGTACCATTTCCAGTTACTTTTGTTTCCATGGTAATAGTTTCAGACACATCAGAACTTTCAGATTCTGAAACCTCCTCTTTCGTCTCCATAGCTACAATATCACAGCAAGTACCTCCCACGTTGACAATCTTTTGTTTTAGTTTCTCTTCATTGCTTGATGTGTTGTTGGCCTGAACGACATTTTGCTACGAATAAGAAAAGTATACACAGGGGGTAAGTTATTGCAACGATTACAAATCATTTTGATCATTATTTCAACAACCATGGAATATATTCATGCAGAGACTGTTAAAACATATTTCAGAAGCGTTCACAAACCATTTGCAGTACTAACTTTAGCAGTGTTGAATTTTCACAGAATTTCCGGAATGACAACTGACTACTGTCCTTTGCAGGTTCGGTACTGGGTCCAGTGCTGAACAGCAATTGTGGTCTCTTTCTGTATCAACAATACGTGCAAAGAATATCTGTCTGGTTTGACACAAGTGATCACTACGGATGGCATAATTCTCAGAAAACAAATCCAAATCCAACAAATATAAACACATCTATGATTCATGCTAACTTCTCAGAAAAGCAATACGTTATATGTTTAATGTGGACCAGCAATAAATCAAAGTCGCGGAGTAATCTGACAACTGCACTGAGTTCCACAAAGGTGCAGTATAAATATGTATTTGTGAGGTGCAGTATTCTTCCCGCTAGAATATACTCATTCTGGATCTGATTCTACACCTTACTGCTGAACAGTGAGAACATCTATTACCTCCTACCCATTGCTGTTGGTTCCCTCCTACCCAATGATTCAATGTCTTCCGGAACCTGCTGTTTAAACTACTCAGAGATGGTCATTGCACAAGTGTTGGACTCTGCAGAGAGATACCCGTCTGTGAAGAAATGAAGAACCCTAAGGTATTGCAGTTGTAACTTTGCACTAGATATGGATTCTGAGTGAAAGAGTGAAGTTGATTTTGGAGAGACACAAACCATTTATTCAGCTTAAGCACAGCTGAGAAATATTGCCACAGGACATTCTATCTATACATAACTGATTTCATGACTTTAAACATGCTTTACCTATTTTAAATAAAACATTTAAAAACTTTGCTTGCACCCATTTTCCAGTCCTATTCTTCTATTGTCTTCGAACTTATTTTTCCTCTTTTGTACATATCTCAATCTATTTATACTTGAAATTATTTTCTTAGCTTCTTCTTTCTTCCAATCCCTACCTTCCAATTATGAACGGTGAGATCGACTTTTCTTCAAAAGAAGCTCTCCAAACCGGTTTTCTAGTCAATGAAAGGGTCATATACTAAAGATCATTTCAGTAAGGTCATAAGCAGTTGGCATAGAGAGCTGACACCCAGATAAGTCACTTTGCCACTTAGACATAAGTAGTGATTTTAAACTACTTTGACTGTATGGGGCAATCATTTAAAAATATGGCACTTACCAGATAGTTCTTATTCTGAGGAGGTTCTGGCTCGCTCTTTTTTGAGTGGAAGGAGGTGTTTTCTAATCACTTCCGTAGGCTACTGCACAACAAAACTGTGTCTAGCTCAACTATTCATCTTACTGAGGAGCACAAAATGCACCTTCATTATAATGCTTCCACTGCCTACAGTATTCATTCAAAAGGCTCCGGTTACATATGTCGTAATTACCTATTATTGCCTCTTATTGTTAATTGAAAGCTAACACTGGAGCTTTTTTTTACAGCTGAAAGTAGCATACTATCATGCGATCTTCCATCAAAATCTATTTCAATACACATAATAGAAAATATCAGTGACTTGAACCAAACCACCTTTATAACAGCCACCATTTATCTTGGAGCAAAGTGGTATTAAAAAAAAGGTAAACTTAACAGTTCAAAATAATTTTCAAGCGACAGCAGCATCAGTGTGAAAAACAAGTTATGGAAATTGCTCCCCCAGGAAAGTTGCACTTTTACAGAACACACACAAAAACAGTGAAGGAATAAAATATTTGCACTGAAATATCAATCTCCACTGCACTGTTACACTCTCCACAAATAAACTGTTAGACAAGTACTGAATAAATAATTTCCTCAATGGACTTTTATGTTGCTGTATTTATAACAAAATCAATTCCTAACATTTCCCCAGTTAGCCGTCTACAACCATAGTTAAAACTATGCTGAACTACAGTCTTCAAAAAGTCCTTAGGCTTTAGTTTGTCGGCATTTTTTTTGACAAAAGGAATCAGTGATTTCCTTACACAGTTTTATACTCTACCTTTAAACGCTGCTTTATTCCAAGGGACCAGAAAGCCCTATGAATCTGGACACTTTAAGACACACAGTTTGCTTCCTTGCATTTTGAGCAACTGCCTGAAATGTGCTCTTGTCCAAGCTCAAAACTGCAGCTTTCTTTTTGAAGAAAGGGATCGCTGGTCATTCCTTTCGTTGAGCTTTTGGCACGACAAACAAAGGCACCCGTAAAGCATACTTTAAATAAATCACAGCTCAATCACAAGTTCCCGACGCAAACCATCCTGTATGGACGAAGCAACTGCGTTTACAAGTAATGTTTACTGTCTGTCCTTTAAAAGGAATGTTCTCCAGGTCTTGAGTACTTTTTACTTTCACTTTACTGTTATAATTGGATTTTGCTTTTCCTCGGCTATCCACCACTTTCTAGCTAAAACGTGACAGTATTTCTTTCTGGTTCAAGATTACTCACTTATATGCTCCATGTCGCTTACCTTTGCAGTCTTTCCAGCAATTTAATGAAACTTAATAAAAATGGAGTTTATGTGATTAACTATGTTTTCCTTGTTTTTAAGCTGTTCTTTGGCAGTTCGACAACAGAACCTGCTAAATGCAGACTCTGCCAACAGGATCACCTTCCACACAATGTTTTAATCAGTGTACTTTCTAATACCATTGAGTGACTGTGAAATAGGCTAATTTACACCATTTCTATTAATGTAAGCACTGTATCTATTACAGAAAGTTCACTTTACAAAAAGAAAAACTTCTCACACAAGGAATCTCGAAGTAACTGGGAGGAAAAAAACTTCCAGCAAAGTTAATCACTAATAATGAGAGAAAGATTTGCCAAAATAACAAGTAATAAATGAAAGCGAGGAAAAAGATGGACAAAGCAAGGGGGAACGAACATGGAACATGAGGAGAGTTAAGAGTTAAAGTATCCAAGGTAGCATTGTAAATAGTTAGCACATAATAACAATAAACCCGAGAGAATAAACCACTGCATTCGACATAATCATTGCAAAATTATTTCCTCACATTTCCCCAGTGACCCAGCACCAACAAGATACAAAAATGAAGATATCAACTTGCACAAGATTTAAAAAAAAACTATTAGTAGTAGGATTCACAAAACTGGCAAGATATTTGATGAAATGATGCCAAGCAACGGATTTGTATCCGAATTTTGGGCACGGTTTTAGTAATCAGTTGAAGTTTTCTAAAAACTACCACTCAGTGGAAATCTCAGTGGAAATTCATTTTCACAGTACTAACCTTTCCAAACCGGTGCCATATATCATTACACCACAAAAAGGCACTGCAGTGTTTCAACATCGAGTCACAGTGAATGTGAGTTACATGCCTTCCAGCGGGACATCGACTTGTAACTAAGAATAAATGTCAAATTTGAGCTTTTGTGATCTTTTAAGCAGGAACTGGACAAAGTGATGAACTATATCCACAGCCAAGATTTAAAGGGCACCTGATCAGAACATGTATTCAAATACTTCACCCAGGATGATAACAGAAAATCAACCAGCTTGTTTCCGCCAATAGAATGGTTATATAGAAGAGTTGTAGGCATTGGATGTGACCTTTACTCATGTAATTTTGTTATTGATTGGGGAAATATCAGATTAAAAACATGAAGTACATGGGACTGAGATTAAAATGTGTTATCGATTAGATTTGAAAATGAATAGCTTACCTATCAATCTGCCGGAAAGTGTAACTATGTTCTAAAGTACTGTATCATCATCGGTTTCTCAGAAAATTAGTGGAAACTCAGATTGAATCTATACACGTTTGCAAACACTGTTACAATTTGCCAGAATTATAGATTGGTAGTTCTGTTCTTCAGAAAAACAATGGGGTATAGCTTTGGCCTATTTTTCTTTAGTCTTTATTGTGACAGAAGTGGAGACATAATTGAGTTATTATTTATTTCCTAAAATACATGCCCGTTCCATTTCAAGGCCTTAAATTATACAGATATTGCTACAGTCTTTGCATGTTAGTTTCTACAGGAGCCTGCAGTTGCAATCAAATTTCTCACAGAAAGCTCACTAGTGTATATTATATCATCTCCTGTGCACTTTGCACACAAAGAATAAGGACATCACAAAAGCGCAAATATTTCATGTCTATGTAATGTTTACGTAAGATGTAGTTATTTGCTCACTAATTAGATGTGCTTCTTTTGTTGTGTGATTAAAATGTTGCGCTGCAGTGACTGAAATCATCAGCTGTGGTTCAGGGTTATTAAAAGGCATTTCTTGCTGACGTTTACCTTCCTTGGGATAACTCAGGGATTATCAGACAGTGATTTTTCGTAACTACAGATGTGATATTAATTTACAAGAACCATAAACATTTACAGCACAGACGAAGGCCATTCGGACAATCATGACTTCCAGCTCTTTTAAGAGCAAACCTTTCAGTCTCATATACCTGCCCTTTCCCCATACCCTGTAGTATACACCTTTTTAGACATTTATTAAGCTCCTTTTTGAAAGATGATATGGATTCTGCCTCAATCACCACTCCCGGCAGGTATTCATAGCCTAACCACTCTGTGCATGAACACATTTCTCAACGAAATATTCTTATTATCCTAACGTTACAGCGATTGCATTTTCACATGCTGGCTACGTCGTAAGGCTTCACTTCTGTGATTATTCAAGGAGGGACCAGACCTGCCATGATTATTCAGACTAAACACCACAAATTCAAGTATTTTAAGTAATTTAATGTAATAACTATGGATTATGTTTATACCACAAATATGAGGATCAGGTATGACCAAATAAAAATATATTGGATAGCGAATAGTAATACAGACTGATACAGTCTTTAGATTTTAATACTTACCCTCATGATCTGCAGTCATGGTAACCATTCAAATTGTACATTAGGTTACAAACCACATTAAGTTATTGTTGGGCTTCCAAGTGTTTGCCAGACTGTTACAAAGCTGGGCGTTTAGCTGGGATTGACTTGCCACTGATTTCCCTTCGCTGTGTGAAACACTAGCCCCTGCTGGGTGCATCCTTTGAAAAGTCCAGCTGAAACCTGTGACTCACTGTGTGGGAAAACGTACACTGAAAGTCAACATTGTAGTTACTAAAAAAAAAATGCAAATTACGCGAAGTAATGACAGCAATAGATTCATAATGAGCTGACTTTATAAACTTTCCCATCCAACCACTTAGAAAGCTTAACTGCGCTCCCAGTTTTTTGACAGACTTGTGTCACAGAACTAAATATTAATATCTAAATAGGAACAAACTTTTGTGTTCAAACTTTTGTGTGACAACAGTAGCAGCAGAGGACCTTGTACAGAACCTTGAACAACATTAATATCAATTTGTGTCAACAGGTGACTTACTAAAATTAACTGATTAATATCTGACCGTAAAATAAGATTGAAACTATTTTTACATATATTTTATTTGATAATGCCAGCTTTGTCTAGTTTATTTAAAAGTATACTTAACGTTTTTTTTTAGATCACCTAAGGTACACATAAGTTACCTTTCTAATTACCGTATTGACTAAACTAAATGTTGTATACCAGACAAAATTTGCATTTGTACAATGTTTGGGACAAAATTGAATAAAGGGTGAATTGACTAATAGCTATGCCACATTATGATTTGATTGGTAACACATTACTTTGTTCACCTACAAAATAAAGCCACTACACTCTACAGTTTATGCTGTGAAGTGATTGGAGACATCCTCCTGATGTGAAAAACACTACACAAAATGCAAGGATTATTTATTTACTTTCTCAATTCGGTTTGAAGTAAATAGTACTGCACTGATAATAAACATTATTTGCTAAAGCTGGTAAGACTGCTTTAGTTAATTTTAGAGACAGTGAGAAATTGCTGAATTATATAAATAAAAATTTTAAAATATATATTTACATTGCGGATCGGACCAGTTGTTTTCGGTAACAGCATCAACCACAGCAATAATATTGTCTGTTGATTTAATAATTCACATCTTCTTAATACTACAGAACTCTACTCTTTAGCTAATAACTCGGAATTCAATAGTTCCACATTCCCAACACAAAGTCTGGAACTACATACAGCACTAGGAAAGACAGAAACATCATAAATAACTACAACTTTGAAACCAACTTGTGCACTTAAATTGCATCTGAAAAGCAATATAGTAAAGTAGCACAAGAGGCAAACCAACCAAGCAAGACATAAATGAATGTGACCATCTGCAACTGCAAAATTAAGAAGTTCAACATTTTCTTTGAGAGCAGAAAAGAACTACAATACTTACAATTGAAAGATTTAAAACACAAGCGTGACAGCACCTACCAGAAACTTGGCACCAAGCAACCAAACTGGAATCATGTCAAACAGGCTACAAACGGGTTAGAAAAGACATTACCGCTGTTTACAAAGCATCGAACAAGCAAAAAAAAAGACCTCGTACCAATTTGGATTTTAGTTCTAAAAGAGTTATTGATTGGATCTGTTTCCAGATAAAAAGGGATGAGACGGAAAAAGACAGGCACAGAATGCTAAAAGGCTAAAATCTATATTATGTCCCGGAGCAAGGTGCTTTATATTGTGGAACATATTCAAGAGATGTGGTAGGAAACCATAACAATGTTCACTTAATCTCTCATCTATTAATCATCGGTTTAATTCATGAAGCCTCTGAGCTGTTTGTTGCCCTATTACAACTGAATAGCTATCAGTTCTCAATTCATCATCGTTTAGAGTTAAAGCTGGTGAAGGTAAATTCTATTTAAATTTGGGTAATTTTTTGAAACCGGTATGAGGTGTTGGGCAAAAGGTAAATTGCGCCATTAAAGGTACAACACATTAACCAAAAGCTGTAACAATTTCTAATGTCCTTGTTGGATTTTCTATGTAGACTCTGTGCGAAGGGCGCTGTATAAATACCATTTGTTCTACACAATGGTCATTGGCAGGCGGTCACTAATCTGCCGACTATTGGTGAAGAGGACCAGTAGAACAACAGAGAAACAGAAACAGAAGGTCCACGTGGGTACCATTTCTGCTAGCGTGGCTATCTTAATCTAACAGATTCTGTGGTAAATGTATGCTTGTGGAAACAAAAGATTCCATAAGTTCACAAGAGAAGTTCAGATGAAGAAAACTGTTCAGTGCATTTGATCTCATTGTTCTAGGTTACCATCACTCCATTACAGACATTGAGCCTAATATCTGGCGTGAATGAACCTTCCAGGAAATCTTTTATTACCCTTCCTGTAGAGAAATATTTCCTGGTGTATGTCTTCAAATTTTCTATCCTTAAAGGTGTGGTTAAAGATATACAATCCCTGTCTGATAAAGGTATCAAGCCCAGATCTCAGATATTGTATGCAGAATTGATCCATCAAAACTTCGAGGTTAGTAGATACATTATAAACTGTTGATTCCAGAATTGAATTGAATTGTACCTCTTTCCAATTGTGATTTGGAGCAATTTAATTTAACACCATTGTATCAAACTACATAGAGATGTAGTTTCTTAGCATTGATGACCTCTCATTGTGAATATCATGGCCTATTCCCAGTAAGTCACAATTGAAAACTTTCCCCAAGGCAAAAAACATCTGTAAGTTGCCCTCATCATTGCATGCAGTGACATTATGTGTTGAGGATTCCCAAACCCAATAGTGCACGTAGATCAGTGATGGTAATCGTTGTAGATTGTAGCCGTTGGTAGCATTTGGTCAGATTCAAATAAGATCATAGAACCATAGGGTTATACAGCACAGAAGGAGGCCATTCAGTCCATTGTGTCTGTGTCGGCTCTTTGAAAAGAACTATCCAAATCAATCCCACTCCCCCGCTCTCTCCTCATAGCCCTGCAAACTTGTCCTCTCCAAATAAATAGAATCATATACCTACACCTATATCTACAGGATCTACGCATTTTAAAATGTAATATTCTGGTTTTAACTTTAGAAAAAGGGATCTGTTTTATCACCAGGCAGGTTAATAGAAACATGAATACATTCAGATGGGTATGGTAAATCAAAATCAATTGATGAGACTGTGTGGCAGTCCACTAATGCCGATCATGTTTCAATGCCATGAATATGTGATTTGCAAAAACCTGTAATCTATTGTCTGGTTCTAATGAACACTCCTGCTAGACAGCATGTGTCAGTCATTGAACAAGATGTCAATACAATTATACAAGTTATATAAGTTGAATAAGCACCTTCCAAATAGGTCAGTGTCATGGTTTTAGATAGAAATATAAGTAGGAAAATATATATATATACACATAACTATTTTTGTACCTCCTCATATCTTTAATTTTTACTGAATCAAACTTCTACGTGGAATTCTGTGCAAGTTTCTTTTAAGCAAAACATATTTTCAGTTAATGTCATTTGACATGACGCTTCAACTCTCGACAATGTGAGCTCAAAGTCCTGATGTGGGATATTATGTAGACAGATGTGCCAGCTACTGTAATCTTCACTACTCGTGTCACCTGACTAGCAATGAAATGAGTAACTAATTCATATTTTTTGGGAGTGAATTTTAGGTGAGGCAGGAATACCGGTCAGAGCACCAGGGAAATTTCATCTTTTTCTTTAAATAAAATACCCCCAAAGTGGAATCTTTTTTAAACCATTCAAAGTGGAACTTTAACGTCTCATCCAAAGATCAACACAGGACATCAACACAGTGCAGGACTGCACTAGAAGGTCAACTTGGATTAAGTGCTCAAACTCACAACCTTCTGCCACAGAGGCAACAACACTCCGAAATAACTAAAGTGACACTGAAATCTAATGTTCTTTGGCTGGTTGAAATGGGTATGGTGTCAGGTCACAAAGAAAGTTGTTACATAGAACAACTTGCAAGTCTGGAAGGCAGTAGCAGAATACTAATTTGAGCTATTATGAGGCATTGATGCTTCATTTATTCAGCTTGCCTTTGAAGGTTTAGTTTTGATGGTCTCTTCTGATCAATTTACCCCATCTTTTTACCTCTAATCTCATGTCCCCAAACCATAATCTTTTCATCAGGCTGAAAGTTTAATTCCCCACCAGCTGCCACTTTGCTTCAAAATAAACGCTCCAAAATAGTATGGTCAAAGGATCGAAGTTCAATGTATCTGAAATGCTGACAAAGGCATTCAAAAGTGCACGTTTCCAAATGACAATATATTTTGTTATCGTAAGCCAAAAAACACTTAGCTGATATATTGTTTAATAACATAACATGAAACATTTTGTCAATATTTTGCAGGAATTTGAGTCTTTTTTGTAAAAAAGAAAACATCAAATGTAAATAGTTTTACCAGGAGTAATTTATTACTCAATGAAGACCCTCTTACAAACTAAAAATAAGAACATAACTGAAGAGAAGTTTCATGAAAGCATATTTTTTGGCATAAAGACTAAAACATATTCAGTTTGTTTTTGCAGCTGTTTTAACCCATCACTAATTCTCACCTTAAATATGATATTTATAGCGCTGGTTATATTTGTGTCAGTGAAAGCTGCTGCAAATGTAATGAACCAATTTGAAACATTTTTTTCAGCCTCAAATATTTTGATTGAGCGTTACGCAATACATGTGGTAGCTTAGCGGAGAACTTGCAGCATAAGAAACTGAACGCAGGTAAGTTTCACTTTTCTATCCTGTGTGTACTTCTTTGAAGAGGTCCTTAGATTTTCCCCCGGCCCCAGTCGTGATGATCAGGTTACTGTGTCGTGGAAGGGTCCAGTTTACATCATCACCCTTTGGCCGAGTTTCGCCATTCTCGCTTTTAAGGCTGTTGGTTGTGGTGTAAGAAAAATATATAAACAACGTTACTTCTTTTTCGGGATGTTGTCAAAGAATTGTTCAAATATAGCAGGAAGAAAGGTACATACCACAAGCACAACTAAACATAGGATTAGTTGCGGAAAGCTGTTCGGGAACACCGAGGCTTGCCATGCATTTAAAACACAGAAAAGATTGATGTAGAAGTGTTAGAATGTCAGATTAGGAAAGTAGGTGTTAAAGACAAATAGAACCGAAGTGGTTATGAATTCTTGTAAATGAAGCAAATAAGCAACTTAATTCGATTAGTGCATATTGTTTGTGAGGTATTACATCTGCAACCGGATTGCAGTCTCCACACGTGTAATGAAGCTACACCCAAATCTTTATTCGAATAAAGAAAAAAAAGGCAAATAACGTGTCCTACAGCCTATAGTTTAGCAGTGAAGTCTTATTTAGTAACTTTACCATGTGCTACTTTATCCGTTTTTTGATAACAGAATCACCTAATACAAAAGCACTGAGCACAACTGCTGTTTATTCATCACAGCCACTGTACTAAGAAAAGCATTTAGTAGAAAATGTGTTCGAGCCATCATAGCAGTGTCTAACTAAACCGCAGCTATTGCTTGAGAGCACCTATTGTTTAGTATTTTAATGTTAGGCTACTTATGTGGAACATTATTTTAACTATGCATTTTTTTTACACAACATTAGATCGAAATGAGTTGATGTACTACTAGTTTGTAGTAATTGGTTTACATTAGACCAATTATTCAGAAGTTCCAGATTTATAAGATTTCTCTGTCTCAAAAAAAATCCTTCCAAGATTCTGTATTACGTATCTCTGAATGCCCAAATTCATGTTTGGTCACCATTCTTAAACAGACAAAGAGCCAGCCAAGTCTGAATAGATTAGCTAAAGAATTAGTTATTTGAAACACTTTGAAAGACATCCTTCAATGTTCTACTGTTGGTTACAAGAAAGTGAAAAGAAAGTTACAGAACAAATCTTTCATTGTCAGACACCAGAGCATTTTAGTATTTTGTTAATGAACCAGCATAATCAACCCAGGTACAATCACTACCACCACCCAAGCCATTCAAGGTAACTTACAATTAATTTTGATTTAAATCAGAAATAATGCAGTATTAATAATAATATTCCTTGCATTTGATATAGCACCTTATCATGTCTTCGAGACGTCTCAAAGCGCTTCACAGAACATACTGTGAAGTGAATTGACTGTATATTTTGTGGGCGAAACGCAACAGCCAATTGTGCACAACAGTGTCCCACAAACAGTCGTGGATTGAGTGAGCAAATTATTATTATTTATTCTGAAGGAATTATAAATAACATGTTTTAATCCCCCCTATAGTCCACCAGGTCCAGTTCTGGTTCTTATCTAAGTGCAGGGCGAGACCTCATCCATTGAGCATTGCCAAATGCTGATCATAGAAATGTTTCCTAGGCTCTCACTCAGGCCCCTCGGGGCTTCTCCTCCACTTGTTGGTAAATTTACTTGACATTTGGGAATTAATTAATCATGTTCTCCATTCATCAATAAATGTTTCCATTGTCGAGAGTAACACCAGAACACACTTGTTTGCTAAAGATCAATGAGTTTATTAACAAGCAGAAAATACCCCCTTTCATTAGATTGGGAGGAAAACTGACAGGATGTGCTCAGCTCCTTAAGGAATGTGTTTTATGTCAGTGAGTTCTCAATCTCACTAAGAACAAACTGGGAGCTACTCATGGCAAATACTATTTCACCCTTCTAATAATAACCCTTGTATTTGATATAGCGCCTCATCATGTCTTCCAGACGTCTCAAAGCGCTTCACAAAATATACTGTAAAGTGAATTGGCTGTATATTTTGTGGGCGAAAAGAAAAGTACATAATGTAGAGGAAGGAAGATGCAAACTAAGGCTTGCCGAGAGAAAACAGAAATTCAACAATGTTTTTATAGTCTGAACTTACATAAGAAACTGATCACATTTGTGCCAACAATCTGGAGAATAGGGCTGGGCTTCTTTCAAAGCAAATCAGCTTTAATAAGCAGTGGCTTTGCCTAAATGTTCAAGCCTTTCAACAGTTTCTACCCAACGTTTGTAGATAAGGATCTTATTCATTATTAATTTCAGAAGGTGCATTGTTAGTTTCAGCATTTTGTAAGCAGTGGCTCCTGGCTTTCAAAGAGTTGAACAGCGGGATCTGAACATATTTTAAAGGTTTTACAAAAGGCATGTCAAAACTTGTAGCGAAAAGCTATCCAGATCCAAACCTTTTCATTATAGAAAACTTATTGGAAAATCCAGAATAGCACTGACACTTCAAAGACAGGCTCGTCAAGTTGAGGACTAAATTAGTTCGAGTCATTTGCTATTTCCTTCGGTTGCAGACTTTGATTCAGCTCTAAAAGTAAAATTGATGTACTTCAAAGTAACATTTAATCGATATATTTATATCCACAATGCCCTGCTTTTATCATACCAGACTAGTTGGTTTTTGGAACAGATAGAATCAGGTTTCTGCTACACACTGAATCTGAGTAATAGTTAAGGGGTCCATTTTTCGCCCACAAAGTACACAGTCAATCCATTTTACAATATATTCTATGAAGGGGTTTGAGACAACTCAATGACGTGATAAGGCGCTATATCAAATGCAAGGTTTAGTATTATTACTATGTACCGTAGTTGTAAATGTTCATTTTAAGGAATAAAATACATGCAAAAGGCCATGATTTGCCTGTGGTCAGAACATGAATGTTTTCTCTGCTTGATTTGTTATGAATAAACGTATGAAGTATCTCAAATTATTCTTTTTCTGCTTCAATTTGTTCCTTCTTCCTAGTTGTGGCTGAATTTTGAATGGCTCCAGTTCACAAGATACAAGATACCCAAGGGAAGAACAGAGTAGAAGACACGCATTAGCCTTACTCCACATTGTGGAACCAAGTGGACATCTTAGGCTGGCATATTCTCACAGGCTTTGCAATGGGTAGAGTGCAAGCAGCAATTGCCAAGAACCTAATGTTGGTTTTCCTTTCATTCATTCAGCTGAAAAAAGATACAAGAAAAACCGAAGGGAAAAATAACTTTGAAAAGATGGAAAAATGATCACTCCTATTTTTTGCTTTGCAAACCTCTTCAATTTGCTCTCCCTGTGATATTAGTTTCATGTTACTCATTTGAGGATGTTGGGATGGGACTCTTTCAGCTAATGAAAAATGGTCAGATAAATCTTGCCTTTGAAGTAAAATATTTTTGGAAAAAATATTGCTCTTGACTCAAAAAGTGTTTCATCAAGAGAAGAAAGCAAGTGTATGTTCAATGAAATTCTTCTCATCCACCAGTTTCCATCAGGGGTCACTTTATGGATATCTCTGTGTGTATTTTTACTTAAAATGTACATTTTAATACTTAGAGACAATCTGCTTTTAATCCTTTTTTTCCAAAGCTTTTTGGTTAAACTTTAGCTCTCGCTGAAGTCTAAATTAGATTTGAAATGAACACCAGAACAAACACTGTCACGCATAGAAAACTAGACCTGTAATTTGTGTCACTGTTGTATCTGTTAAAACAATCAATTAATCACAGTTAGTATATTAAAATATGCCAAACTATCATCAAAAGATAATGAAAACATGATATTGGTACAATTCCTGTGGCTCTTTTATATTATGGATACTTTTACATTAAAGCTTAAATATTTGTTGGTTTATGTAATCAGTTATAGACCACTGCACAGTACTCAGATTTAGCTTCACGAAAGTAATATCTCACCATTTATTTCCTCATAGCTGTTAAGAAGTGAGACAATATCAGTGAAGGAGAAGATGAAGAATAAAGTTTATTCTCAGTAAAGCAAAATAAAAGTCAGCCGAAAGATTTCTACAATTCAAACTGATCAATTAGTGTGCATGTCCAAAGCATTGAATTTTACAGTGGTTAGATGACAACATGTGTTGACAACATAGTTTTAATATGTGTGATGCAAGGATTACGAGTACAAAAATATAAAACTAAAATTCATAATCATAAAGGATAAAACTGCTTGAGTTCTGAATTTACTCAATGCAGAGCTTCGTACAAAAAAAACTTTGAAAAACAAGGAGTTCCTGAGTGACAAACTAAATTATTGTAAACATGGTAAAGTATCTTCAACTGTGTTGACTTTAAAAAGTGACCAATTTTAACAGATTAAAACTGTACCAGAGTAACATGCCAAGGACCACTCATTTGCTCCACTTTGATTGCAATCTGATCAGTGACCATCCCTCTCTCTCTTTACCAGCACCTCGAATGTAGTTGGTTCTGAAGTTCTACACCAACTTGACAAGGAGGTGAAAGCCACATACTGTACTGTATTACTAATACTCTCTTGTGTCTCCTGCAAGACGTTCTGTAGAACAACACAGGCACCGAGATTCTCAACTTTCACTCACGAAAGGAGCAGAACTGAGCATCAGATACACTGGAGTGATCCAAAACCAAAGTGCATTTGTGTGCTATTTTCTTTACCAAAACGGTTATGCTTTTAGTTCACAACAAGAAAAGGGATCTTGGCAAACGATCAAAAACAATGGACACAAGTATCCGATTATTGACTGGAACAGAGTGTGTGATTTTATCATTTTTATTACTTTTCCATCTCTGAATTAAACTTTGTGCTAATGCATCAGTGACAGGTGATATGTACAATGACATTTGACATGCTTCTGCACAATGTTTAGTGATTAGTAACACTATAGGAGCAGGATGTTAGGTTTAAGGTACAGCTTGAAGAGCAGCTGGTTATATAGTTACATAACAGAACAGCAGTTACACTTTTGTTTGTCTTTAGTACCTGAAACAGAAGGGTCTTCAGAACTTCCAACTCCGTCCATTTGTCCATCAGAGTATGTTTTGGGAGCAGAATGGTTTGTAGCTGTATCCTGCCCTGAAATTAAAGTAGAATTCTTTGGGGTAGAGCTGTCTCCTGTAATTAGATCTATTGCAGCATTTGAGGTTTTGCATTTCTCGTCTGTAGATGAAACAGTGGCTGGAGAAAATCCTGGGTTCATGTTCCCATTCGCTTCATGTGGTGTCATCTCGGTGGCATCATCATCATTAGAATTATCATCATCGCTTATAACAACCAGTTCTGCACGAATAGCTCCTTCAAAAGCCAACATTTTTTTGGCTTCATCTTCATCATCTATATCATGATACCCCATGAAGATCATAGTGACCGGATCCTCAGTGTTAACGCCGGAAGGCAAGGAATGGACAATGCTGAACTTGATGTCCGTTTCTTCGTCAGCTGAAGAAGACTCACCATCATTGTCAAGGTCAGAACTGATAAACACAGCCTCTCGGTGGTTTTCCTTTTGTTGAAGGTGTATCGAATTCAACTGATTTCTGGTGACTGGCGACTCATTACCTAATTCACTGTGACTCCACCTGGAACTGGGAGACCTGGAACCTGGTACTGGAGACCTTGCGAAAGGAGAAGGTATCAGTGTTGGCTGTGGAGACTCACTGAAGTTCTTTCTGTTCTGCTCTGCGATGATATCATTGTTTCCATAGATCTGAGCCATTACTGGTTCGTGTCTTTCAATTGTTTCATTTGTGGTCATATTTTCATGAATCTCTGATTCTAAACCAGCATGCTCAGAAAAGGGTATTTTAGGAGATGGGGATTTATGATAGGGACTCGAGAACACAGGTGCATGACATGCTGCAGAAACATTTTCCTTTTTGTTCTCAACCTGTTCTAATAACGCTTCCACCTCCTCATGAGTCAAGTCACTGACACCATTGTGCATTGCCCCTCCATCAGTGCGCACAGCGTACACTGACTTAATCCCGTCTTCGTACACTTTAACACCTCTGTCCCTGATTTCATCAACAGTCACAGGTACAGTTGATAGAACTGTACTCTCTCCTGTCTTCATGTCCTTTTGAACGTTGATTTCCACAGCAAATAAAGCTGGTGAGAAAAGATGTGCATAGATTCGTGATTATGTTTCGAAATATTAGCGAGCAAAAAATCTTTGGAGTTTTGCGGAGCAATCCTTCAGATACTTTTGTGAGCTATCAATAAACATTACTTACCATGCATTATTTTGCAAAAACAAATACATATACATTTTGTTCTTTTATTGCATGCAGGAGCCAATCAGTTGTAAAGGATGGATAATTATTTGAGAATTAACATTTTATCTTTTTGTATATATATATTTGAAATCTCTGCAAAATTGGTTGTATGCAATTTAAAACAGCGTTGACACGTTCTGTCTGTACACACACTATAAAACCCATCCGTCTAATGTGAAATTTTGTTATAACAATACAGACAGGTAAAAAGGCCAATCTAGTTACGTTTACATATTTAGCTAATTTACTTTCCAATTGTCAGTGAGTCAATATGTTGAAGAAGGTGATGTTTCATAACAGATTAATGTCACATTTTGCATCTCAAATCTCTTCAGTGTGAAGGAACTGAATGAGTGTGAAATGTAGAATGAGCGTACACATGTAATGGGTACCTGTTTTGAGTGGCTCCTGTTCTTCTTGTGTCTGTGTTGTTATACTTGCTGTATGTTGCAAATTGCAGGGTTTGTATGTCTTTGGAAGATCTGGAATCTTTGAGTATATAAATTGGACATGGCCTATAGAAAGCAACAGCAATGATTAATATTGTGAAATGACGACAATACTATTCTTTTTCGCACAAAGCAAAGGTGTATGAAGCAAATATTAATGGTTCGCTTCTTACCTTTATCATTCTCAGCCTTCGTCGCCTGTGAGGAGACAGTTAAAAATAATTTGTTGTGATTTCTGAGAACTGAATGCGAGGGCAAAAAAAAATTATGTTCTTATAGTACATGCTGGGCACATATACAGCCAGGTTTTGCCTGGATCTTAAAACGATGCTGTAACCTATCCGATGTACAGACTCTGATAGATACTTTCATTCTAAAGAGAACGGGAGCAACATTTCCAACTCGGCATTGTAGGATATAAAAATGTCTTCTGCGCAATGTGACATCTCCCAGATATTTAAATAATTACTCTGGAAAACTCATACTTACCCACAAACTAATAGTAAGAGTCCCTAACCAAATCATAAAAAGGCCTTGACTGAAATAACCTTGACATTTCACTTTTCCAGATGTGTGATTATGTTTTAGATTGAAAGTCATAACATAACTTTTATGTAGTTCCATGTCAATTATGCAGTTAGGATAATGAGATTGCACCAACAGTTTGTTTAAGGATGTTCATCACTGTACATTTTCATTCCTAGTGTGTGTATTTGTAATAAGGCATGTGTCCAAAGGAAGGGAAGAGTTCCCTTTATTTCCACTATAAGAGGGAAAAATCCACTTGTTCTATTAGGTGTTCAATAAGAGTGAAGACTACTTTAATTTAAATAATCCATACATCCAATCTACACTTTGGCAGCAGTCCATGCACCCTATCTAACCTTCGGAAAGATTCAACTATTAATTGATGAACAGAATGGTCCAGTTTCACATGTTCACATGCACACACCACAAAATTGTCAATATAAGTATCAAGGCTGTTCAAAACTGTCTATATTATCTTGATTTATGCACCTACCTTCTGGAAAACATGTTCAAATTCCCCTTAGTAAATGCTAAATGTCTGTCTTGATCAGGAAAATAGATACATTATATAGAACGGAACAGATTATAAATCAGTTCGTCTAAAAATGTGTTATAATCCAATGAAAATGCCATTCATTTATTAGATACTTTGAATGCTTTACCTTTATTACATCTTCTGTTGTTTTCAGCTTTTCCAATAGTATTTGTTCATTGGCAGATATCTGAACCTCCTGGTTTTCGAGATTTTCAATTTCTTCTTCAAGTCTACAAATGACAAGGAATTTACATTCGGAAACTATTCATTTTACCCAGTTTTCAAACTGAAAGAAAGATTCTGTGTTCAGCTATATATTTGCTGGATCGTGCGCCAGATGAATTCATTGCAAACATCAACTTTCCCAAACACCACTGCTAAGTTTGTCCTCAATCACACCTGAATAGTCCAATAGTGAATAGTGCATTGGCAGAGTATATACTGGGTAACGTATTGAATTATGTACATACAAGCTCTGCATTGGCTAAGTTATATGTTGGGTAGAGTATTGGAAGGTACATATACTGCACATTGTAAATACCATTTGAGGAACCGGTTGTTAGTTGATTGGCGAATTGCTTTTCCGGGGTAATAATTCCTTAAAAAAATGTGGTCACTCAATCCATGACTCTTTGTGGGGGCGCTGCTGTGCACAATTGGCTGCAGCGTTTCGCCCACAAAATACACAGTCAATTCACTTTACAGTATGTTCTGTGAAGGGCTTTGAGACTCTATGATAAGGCACTATATCGAATGCGAGGATTATTATTTAATATTACCATGTTATTTGTAGCACAGTGCATAAAAAGGAGCGTATTAGGAAATGCAAATGATACTTAATACTGAAAATTAATGGAAATAGGAGGAGACTATGCACCAGTTTATTAGATCATGGCTGACCTTTTAATTCCATTTCACTACCTTTTCTCTGTAGTCCTTATTAAGCATCTCTCTCTCTCTCTCTCTCTCTTTAAATATCCCAATTGATTCTGCCTCAATGGCCACATTGTCACAGTGGTTGGTGTAGATATGTTCTCTGAACTCACTTCTAACAATGTGAACTCTAACTTGTCGCAACATAAACTTAAACCCACAAGCTTGACCAATCTACCACCCAGCCAGGGTTGGTAACTTTACTGAGTAGCAAAGGCTCATTCCCCCAAAGCTATTTCCTGCTGCCGCTATCCATACTTCAGACTTTACCAACAGGAGGAAAATTGCTCCTAGCATTGGGACTAGTGATTTGAAACAGTTATTGAATCAGATAATGCAAGGACATTAAATTAATATCAGTCGATATACAGTCATTAACCCAGGATGTTTCAGCAACTGTGTCCTTGCAACTGTCTATATTGATTCATCTCTTTTGCATGGTCAGGCTTAATAATCCCTCCAAACTACTCGACCCCCGACAAGGTCATAACATGCCTACTGTACAAATATAAAAATATTCAAATATGTGGACACATACGCAAAGAAAGAAACTGAAAAAAGCCGAAAGCTGTTCCAATTATAATACTTTGCAAGTTTGATTTTTAAAGTGTTATGAATTAATGGCGAAAAGTCTTTGAACAGCACATACTTGACATATACTCCACATTGCACATCTCATCAGTTGGAAAAAAAAAGGCAAACACCATTAGTAAATGAATAGATAGAACACAAGTACAGAGATATTAATAAAGATGAGGTATGATGCAGGCAGCCATGCTGAGTTCCATTCAATTATATAGGAAATAAAAAAAAAACTTCCCTTTGGCAAGAATTGTTTCATGTGACCTTTAATCACAGGAATGAAATGGCAAATAGAAAAATAGGGGAATGTTCATTATGATACATAAGTACCATTATTCTCATGCTTAATTCTTAGAGCAGCAGTAGATTTGGGTAATTTCAGTTTTCGTGCTGCGTTTGTAAGGCCGGGAGTAAAGTCCTGGCAATATAGTGACGTGAGAAGAGAAAGTACATTTGCATTGCTTTCAATCTGTCCATCTCTCCATAAAATTATTTAATATTATTAAAGAATCAGACATGCGATAAGAGCTTCAGAAATAATAAAAAAAATGTTCTTTTCAAAGTTCTTTGGCAGAGTCCAGCTGAATGTAGCACTTTAAAATCAAAACTCATTGAACCATGAAAATGAATTATCCTGTCCCAACCCAGCCCCAAAATCTGTCATATTCCTATATGTGGTGGGATGGAGTTGAAATTATTTAATTACTTTTATGTGGTCTTGGACAAACTATCTTGTGGGGCATTATTCAATAATTCAAGAAACGTCCAAAAAAAAGAGGTATTACTTCAGAACATATTCACGTGTAAAATATCTTTCACTTTGTCGCAGTGTTTCATTTGATTAGTGGAGTTCAAAGAATGTCAAAGAGAAAAGCATTACGTTCTTTCTTTAACAATGTGCTATGAGGCTAGTTTCATGGGCATATATTATTTTAACCAAGATGTTCAGTTCTAAATAGTTATTGCTGATTTGTAATTGTGATTTTGAACACTGAGAGGAATCTATTGTGTGCAATGAACAACTATTGCCTTACTGCTCTATAAATACAGCTGTAGAAAGTGCACTAGTGACCTATTGTGGCAGAAAGCAAGTTCTACATAACATTTTCTACTCTGTGTAACACAGTGAAGTATGGAGAAGGCAGAGTGAAAGGAAAGAATTGAGAGCAACGTCGATATGACTGAATTGAGAGCTGTAGAGCCAAGCTTTCCCCGACATTAATCAATATACCACCAAGATTTGTACAGTTTGACTCGTAGTAACTGAACAAAATATTCTTGTAAAGACATCATATCAAAGACCGGTGTGTGTGCCACGGTTGACATGCTGCCGACACTCACTGTCCATGCTTACACATGTGGAAGGCACTTGGATGCAGTCCTAGAAACATTCACGTGACCATTATTATTTAATGTATTAATATACTCAGTGGTGTGAATAATTATTAAATACCTTAATAATTCAAAGTTTGCACAAAGACATTGTGCGTTAATTATTAACAGCTTCCAATGTGATGTGATTGCATAGGAGTTCAGGATTATTCCAGCCCCGCATCACAGGAGTAAACACGACAGCAACAACTTGCACTTATATAGTGCCCTCCACGCAGGGTCTCAGAGTGCTTAACAGTGGCGGAGCCTGACAGTTAGAGACTGTACCAGTGTATACTTGCAATGGGGGAAATCCTATTACAGTATCAGCACATACTGCCAATAATGGTGACTACTTTAATTTCACCCCCGAAATTGCAAATTTATGCAAACCTTTCACGCAATACTCTCTGCAAACAGCCGGAAGCTCCACAATGGAGATCTACGAAGCTCCTCAATTCAAATCCTCTTTAATACGATAATAATAATATCACATCTTCGAGATGTCTCAAAGCGCTTCACAGAATATACTGTAAAGTAAATTGATTGTATATTTTGTGGGCAAAATGTGGCAGCCAATTGCGCACAGCAGTGTCCCCACAAACAGTCATGGATTGAGTGACCAATTCATTTTTTTTACATTTTTCTTTTTTTTAAAAAAAGGGATTATTATGCCCGGAAAAGCAATCCGCCAATCGACTAACACCCAGATTCGTACTTACTGGTAGGTAAACAGAGACGTGTGGAGTAAGGAAACTTGCCTAAGGTTTCCCTGCCCGAGAATCGAACTCAGGTCCTCCTGCTTGCAAGGTGAGAACTCTAACCATTAAACTACAGGAATCCATAATTAGAGTCTAATATTACAATGCTTTAGAGTCAAGACCAGAATATTTTGCAGCTATTCTTGTCTCCGTGGCAGAATCTGTTAGTCCTATTTTGCCTTCTTTCAACAAATAACAGTTAGCAGGCATTAGGGGTAATGGGTTGAAAGCTTGATGATATCCGTAACAAATGCACACGTTTTAAAAGAAATGATAACAGAACTGCAAGCATCCATTACAAACGTGCAAATGTAATGAATATGTAAATATATAAGACCTTGTTTGTCATTCCCCATGAGGACTGACTAAAATGTCTACACAGGGAAGCATAAAACATACTTGACAAAGAGATTAAAAATAGAAGTAACAGTTATGACAAATTTTCCATATTAATCTTCTGACATCACTTATATCTTGGCACAGAGTATCCATCAAAGTGTCAGAGAAAGGCAGTTTAGTTTAAGCGGGTCATATTGTCTTGAGTCAGGTTGCCACAGAATGGGAACAGAACACTCTCAATGGATGGCAGCATTTTAACCTTCAGATAGTTTCTCCGATCAGACAAAAGCTAATTTTATCCACGGAGCATTGATACGTGCCGAGCAGCTCTTCCAACGTCATGAGGGTAATTGCATTTCTCAAAAGTCTCATTGGTTAAAAAAAAGTTTTAATCCGTAGAGTTTCAACTCGGTTTCACGAGCATTCAGTGTATTCCCATTGTACACCGATAGCCCGACTGATGATTTTTCTACTAATGTTATAACTTTTCTTCCAGGTCTCTCTAACCGAATTGTAAAAGAATGTTCCTCAGTAATCCTCTGGTTCCTTTAAACATGCCCAGAGAAATTGATAAAAACCTGGGATCCTTATGAGGGTCACTTTTCCAAAGGCATTGAGAGAAGACTGGTCAGAAGACATAACTCTGGAACACTCTCCCTCAATCCCTCCGCCTTGCCCCCTCTCCCCCCTCTTTCAAGTCCCGCCCTGAAAACTTTCCTCTTCGACCGTGCTTGCGGCCACCTCCCACCTTCGCCCCGGCTCAGAGTCAGGCTCCGCCACTGTTAAGCGCTCTGAGACCTTACCCTGTGTGGAGGGCGCTATATAAGTACAGGTTGTTGTTTTATGAGTATGAGCTGTCAAAATGCCATTTGTCTGGATTGATCACATCTGTGTTTAGTTTACCTTTGGGACTCTTGTCTGTATCCATTTATTACACAAATGCAAAGGTAGCTTCCTCAAACCTGCTGAAATCGTCAGGCAAACGTGAGCGGAAATAAGTGAGCCACTGGCTAATTATTTTAGGACTCCGTAAACAATATTAATATAGCTGTTACTTAAAGGAGGTCACGTGTATACAAACAAGAGTGAGATGTAAAACTGAAATTGTTGCAACAACAACTTGTATTTGTGTAGCGCTCTTCACGCAGGATAGCATTACCCAGTTAGGCAAACATCAGCAGGGACATGGGGAAAGAGATCATAAGAGATCCTCTCAATGCTTAACTTGGAGATGAAATTCCCTGGTTGATATAGCCATCTTTCCATTCTGCACCTGTATTGGGAAAAATCCCTTGACAAGCTCACAATGCCAAAGTGAGTAACATTCCTAATCAGCGGAAAAGTTCACTTCATGAGAGTACAGAATCCTTAAGACCACCAAAGGGTTTTCCTTTATACACAGCCAAGCTGAATACATCTGTTGACATTCATTTCATCATCCATATAGAACATCTAAATGTCAATACAATCATTTAACACTGTACAAAGTACCATACTTAAGACCTTTATGGAAAGGTATTGCACCAAACCAAATGGTAAAATAAAGTACAATACATTGAACAAAAAGAGCATTTCAAGAGGAAAATATCCATATGGTTTCCAGAAGACACTTCACGTATTGTACTTTCATTTATTAAACACAGGTTCTCACGTCACACAGTTTCTAACATGCTGCAAAGGAATGTGTAGTGGTGGAGTGTATTCAAAAGTGAGGATCTATCATCTCGTCTTGGGCTTTACCTGAGAATGTTTTGTTCCAGTTGTTTTGATTGTTGTTGGTCTTCCTGATGTTGTTTTTTCATGGCCTCTTGCTCTTGTAGAGGAATGGCTGTTATTCCTTCCACTAGCCATCTCTCTCTCAAGCCCTTTGACTATTTGGAACAGCAGTGTTAGAAATCAATCATCACTTCAACAGTGCTTTGTTGTTTCCAAAATTATAGACTATGACTCCCCTTCTATCATTAATACGATAGTACGGATTGACTTCACGATTCTCACACTCGTGTTCAAATCCCTTCATTCCCTGGCACCTCCCTACCTCCCTGACCTCTTCACTCCCCAATCCACCACCTGGCACCTCCGCTCGACTGGCAATGGCCTCCTGCTTGTCCTTCGCACCCTCCGCTCCACCAATGGAGGTTGCGCATTCAGCCACTACGCTCCGAAACTCTGGAACACTCTGGAACACTCTCACTCAATCCTTCCGCCTTGCCCCCCCCCCCCCTCCCCATTTTCAAGTATTAATAAGCAGCTTTCATGTTTAAAGGTCGCAGGAGTTCCAGACATTTTATTTTACGAACCACACACAAATGTGTTCGAATTATCTCTATTCTTGTTCACTAATCTTTAGCTCCTCAGTGATCGCTATTCAAATGTTGGAAGAGAAACAAGTGAATGACCATGTGACCCTGGACCACTCTATCAATACCCTCTGATATACCTTTAAATGCTTAAGTTTCATCTTCTCTCCTTCCACTTGGAACCGTTGTCTTGTGATTTCTTCTTGTACTTTCCTCTTGTTCTGCATCAATAGAATTGGGAAATTATTTTCATTTGTTTTACTTAAAACTCAAAATTTGAGGTTATTTGAAGATTGACAACTTCCATACTGATCTTATCACTGTTTTATTACATTAAAGAGCAGTTAAGACCAACATATTGCAGCATCTATCAGTAAGGGTCCCTGTTAACAGGAATACTCATCTAAAGGGCACGTTTGGTGTTATGCATTCATGAATTCCCCCTATTTTCTACAGTGTTTAAAGCAAGCTGATCTCTCCGGTGTCACGCAAGCTTTTACTGCATTATTTATTAAGCTGTGATGTAGTATTTTCATTCTTCTTTGCAGAATTTGCATTGCAAAATATCTTTAGAATGTTTAAAAGTAATTTTAAAGTTCTCTTTTTTTCTCTTTTATTTTAGTTGTGGTTATCTGTTTAACACGGTTGTACAGTTTAGAAAGGCCTCTTTCATTGAAGAAGTAACCAAGGATGTGGATAAAGGAGATACGCTAGATGCTGTTTATTTCGATGTTAGGAAAGTGTACAATAAGTTTCTGCATGAAAGTCTGGTGACCGAAATGAAGGCACATGAAATGTAGCAGAGTAGATGGTAGAATTCTCAATGGATGGATGAGTCTAGGGAAATGGGGCTACAAACACGTGGGTTTGTAAAAGTAGGATCGCAGGCAGAGAAAGCTGTTAAAAGGACAGTCAGGATTCTGGATTGAATATAAACGTATGAGAACAAATGGGCTGAAGGGCTTTCAGCATTCAAACCAATTGTGTAGTCTTGTAAAGTGAATCGTTTTTTGACGATGGTTAGGCTGCAGCTAGAATACTATGTATAGAAAGGCTATTAGACCGATGGAGAAGGTGCAAGTGTAGGGTCAATGAAGATACCAGAAAAGTAAAGGTACAGCTATTAAGAGAGTCTAGAAATTCTTTCCGTTGAATCAGAGAAGGTAGAGGGATAATATGGTGTTTAAGGTAAGGAAAGGATCGAAAAAAAATGATCGCCAAAAAATCTCTGGTCGAGGAATCAAAGATAAGCGGACATGAATTTTATTCCAAGGAAAATAAATAAATGGAGAGTTTCGGAAAAACTTCTTCTCCTCGAGGGTTGTCAGAGGATGGAATGATTTGCCTGTTGTGACTGTTACAGTAGAGTCAATTAGGTGTTTAAGAATTAGACAAACACAGAGAAAGGATATTGGAAGATATCCAAAAAGAAGGGGAAATTGGAGGATTAAGGTGGATGGCTTCTTAGAGGTGCAAACAGCGACATGAAAATATGGGACAATTGGCCTCCTACTCTGTTGTACATTTCTATGGTTCTATGTTCGAACTTCATCAGTTCATGTGGCATTTATACCCATTTGTGGAATTTCCACTGAGCAGCAGGCCGTTGGATTTGAACAGCAGTGATAACCTTGTAATGCCCACTAAGTAACCTCTTAGCACCTACTGATGCCAAAATTACAAGTGCAATGTATAAATGGATTGCCACTAATCCTGGAAACATCAGCTTTGACTCTTTTGGGGGGGTTGCAATGGGATTCACCAATAGCAATTCAGGATCGCTAACAGGAATCCCGCTGGTAACTGGCAGTGTGTCATGGCAAACTAGTGGAATCCTTGTTCCAAAATGTCCCTTGTAGATTGTGAGATTTCTGTAACTCAGCTGTCATGTACTCGCAGCTACCAACAAGGATCCAAGTTATTGACTCTTAGCGGCTGTTAACAAATCCTGCTGTGAATCCCTCTTTTCAGGACCTCGGTTGTGAAGAATAGAGCAAAATGGAATTGGCATTAAATAATGGAAAAGGGATTTCTTTACTCAACTCTATCGCTCAGCACTTCTGTACAAGGCTCGTGTCAAGAGAGTACATAATTTTTCCTGGCGCAGTGACTAGATCGTTTTGTGACGTGCTAATTTCTAATTTAGATCTTCATCCTATGATCTAATCCTAGCTTTGCTGTTAATACAATGTTCAACTAAAATTGGAGCAGATGCCATAGGTTACACTGTCAGCATAACATGTATGATTATGTTTGCCTGCAATATATAATATATATACGAATATAGAATATATAATATTAATCTGCTGACAGAAAAGCAATCGCGCCACATTACAACTACAATGTACCTCTGACAAATTGCTTCTTAAAATACTGAGAATCTTTTTCATTTCAAAATGTGTTTTTGACCTTTGTAGCAAATCTATATTCGGTAATTTACCGTAAAATGTCATTTCGCCACTGAAGGTTAGCGTGCGTTTGCAAGATTGTTTTGACTTCGAGTATTCTATCCTCATTTAGAAATAAACAGTTTGCCCTCTAGCACAGTGGTGTCATAGAACTCCCTACAGACTTTGGAATCTAATACGCTCTTGTTAAATCAATGCTGGGACATGTGCCACTGCTTCTTGCTCTTGCATCTCTTCGTTTTCAGCTTCACTAAATGACTTCTAAATAGGGTGGAAAAGTTGTAACTCTAACATTGAGGGGAGAAGAGCTTTTAAAGCGTAAAAAAAAGATGCAACGGTAACCTGGATACTTTTAAGTGACACATGATGGTAGAGAACAGCTATCTAAAGTTGAAGGACCTGGAACGTTTGACCTGAGAATGTCCTTCACACACAATATCCGCACAAAACAGAAGGTCGGAGTACTTACAGTGATGGCTAGCAGCCGTTCTTTCAGTAGATCAGCCTCTTCCATTCTAAAAGCAACACAGAAAGAGAAGGGCGAGAGTGAAGAGCATGAGCAGCAGAAGGAGAAGTGAATGCTGGAATAGACTGCAGCTGGGCTGGGCACCGTACAATATTCCTGGTTTGTTAGGACGACCTCACAGCAGATGATCGGACTGGCCTGTGCGAGGCAGCACATGTGATAAGTGGGGGTGGGGGGGTGCACATTTCTGGCATGGCTGTCGTGTTTGAGTGACAGGTTGTCTGGTCTCTTTGGCTGAGAATTATTTGGGCGTAAGATTGTTACACGCAGTGAGGTAAGGCAGCCAACTGACATTCTTTGTAAACACAACAGCTTAAATTTCCTAACACTGATCCCTTAAAGCGATTAGGGATGTTGCTGTACTGCAAACACACAATAAAGCACAGCTGTACGAAGAAAACCTTGGTGAAATAAGTTGATAATATGTCTTAAGAATTTGAACACAGTCAGGTATCTTTACAAATTGCTCATTACCAAAAACATTCTAAATAAAATCCTTATTTTGTGTCATATTAATAATAATAACAATCCTTGTGTTTGATATAGAACTTTTCACATCAGGATGACGTCTCAAAGAGCGACACAGGATTTACTGTTTAGTCATTGTAGTGACTGTGTATTTTTGAGTCGAACGCGGCAGCCAATTAGCACATAGCAATGTCCCAAAAACAGCCATGAAGTCAGTGTCCACTTTTATCCAGGACATTGTTGGCCAGGAGAGCATTTAGTCAAAATGTGAGCCCTTTCCTGATCTGACATCTGACATAAGAGGCAATTGAATAATTTATTAAAATGTTGAACCAAAATCTCATGGCCAGTTTGTTCTTTTACTTAAAGTACTCTACTCAGAAACACAATGTTTGATAAGTAGAAACATACGTGTTATTTTTTTAAAGTAAGTTTTTTTTATCTCTTTGGAAATACATTGTGGAATAGGCCAATGCTATTCAGGGCTCTGCAACTCAGAACATTAAACCTAGAAATCTGCTTATAAATTGCAAGGGGCGATTTCCTCAGGTGGCATTTTATATTTCGAATTATTAACTCATTTAAGATACAAGAGAATTAATGCATCTACTATTAAACTCACAGCCTGGGGTCACATGTGAAGAAAGGTCATTTAGACAAGGTATTAGAGATTGGCAAGGAATTGTACGCTGGCAATTCAGGTTAGAAGTTTTTATTAAACACAAATTATATTTTTTTAAAATCACAATTCCAGACCCTCTCATTGCTTGATTGATTTTTGGTTGCGAAGTCATGATGTTGACACCTTATGGTCTGAATGTAAATCTAGCTGTAGTCACTGCTTGGATTAGGCTGGTACAAAGATAAGTGATCAGCAGATACTATGTACTTCCCACCTCCAGCTGTGGAGGCCTAGAACAGGAATCAGTCATGTCCGACAGGGGACACGAAGAGAGAAAGATAGGAAGGCATCCTTATCCACCTGATGTTCAAATGCCTGCTGCTTGCACAGCTGTGATTATGTCTATTTGCATTTCCTGTAGGATAGGTGTAAATGGCACAGTTCCCTCTTGACTGTTCTTGCCAACCTGGATAAACCTTTCTTCTCTGGAGCCAACGCACAACATCCCTCGGACACTGTCATTCCATCTGGCCTGCCACTGGAATACATAAGCTGCCATTCTGATCGAGAGAGGATGAGCCATTGCCTTTGATGCAATGATTTCCAGGCCACAGGGCCTTTAATAAAGTGAGGGAGGAGCTCTGCAAGCATTTAACACGTTTAATAATATTCATATTAATTCCAGCTTGTCACACAGCACCAAGTGTTTGACTAGTAATTGCTGACCATTGTGGTGACTTTGTATTTGTAGGAAAGCACGACATCCACTTTACAAACAATCGAGATCCCACAAACAACCATTAAGTAAGTGACCAATTTATCTGAAAGATTGTTAGTCAGGGCACTGGGAGAAACTGTTCTCTTTTTGAATAGTGTCATGGGAGCTTTACCTGAACAAGGGAGCTCAATTTAATGTTTCATCTGAAGGACAGCACCTTTGACAGTGTTAGCCTGCACTGCGAACTTGAAGTCCTAAAATGGATGTTGAATCTACAACCTTCTGACCCAAAGGTAACAGTGATACCAACTGAGCCAAGCACATCATGTCTAGCGATCATTCCAACATATTCTAATGCACATTTCACTTTTCCATCTTGACATGAACAAAGTATTGTTTTAAAGTTAATATCCAACTTGGGTTTGAGCTCAGTAAAGGCACTGTTTATTTTATGAATTTATGTTACATTCACTGAGAACAGGATGAATTTTAAAAGCAAAAGTTAAATTCAATCATGAAAATGACAAAATGCCTTCAGAATCTATAATGTGAGAGTTCTTTATAGACTTCACTTTATTGCATAACCCATTAAGGATTCCAGGAATTATTTAAACACTTAAGAAATTCATAGAAAGTTTAGAAGTATGTTTATAATTTTGGAGCATTATATTGCTAAAATTCTTGCCTAAGCTTAAAAAATCTAACATTGCTGGGAATATCTTCACGAAAAATTGTTCAAAATTGCGGTCATAAATTCATGGGTTCTTCAGTATTATAATGTGCAAAATGTTAAACAGCTCCATTGTATGTGAAGTTCACAGTGATACTTCAGAGAGATGTCAGTTTTAAATACAAAGCATGCATATTTTATACTCCACCTTCTGTTCGGTCACTGTGCTACAGCTAACGTGCTAAATAAATCAACATTAGCTGTTCTTACAATATTGGGTCACATATGGTATAGACCGATTGATACCAGCTGTCCCCTTGTCTGCTTTGAAGACCTTTTTTTATCCTTGAAGATCAGGGGAAGTTGCCTGTAATATAGTCATGATACCGAAATGGGGAGTTTGTGACAGCTGCTTTTTGCAATCTATGTATATCATCAAAAGTTGAAGGGCAATAAATAGGGATTTAAAAACATTGGAGGTTTCAGTATTGTAGTCTGATTAAATATTTTCAAGAACATCTTGCTTCTGACCCATTCAGCATTCGGAGCTGCAGATTGTAATGTGAGCAACAGAAGGAAATCCAAAGCTGTCAAAATCACAAGAATATATCCATATTGTTTAACACTGTCGAGCTTCCTCACCCAGCAGACAACTAAGTCAGCATGCCTAACTGCATTCTGAACCATGTTTAGATATATGTGGTGTGAGGTTATGATAGCACTCATAACATGATATGTTGCACTCTCCCACAGAGCTTCACCAAACTAGTTCTCATCCAGAAGCCATCAGCACTCCAGCATTTTGATACAGCTCCTTATCACTTCTTCGAGACGTCTCAAAACGCTTCACAGAATTATACTGTAAAGTGAATTGACTGTACATTTTATGGGCAAAACACAACAGCCAATTGCACACAGTAGTGTCCCACAAACGACCAAGTTATTTTTAGAAATTATTTTGAAGGGCTTATTATAAAAGGTACAGAGTTATCATAAATACTATTTTATTACAGAGACATCACTCGACATGTTACAAAAAATCTTATTTTATAATAAAATCCTAGAGACTTTCAGTTCTTTCATTCAGTTTCACAAGTTCTCTTGAAATACTACAACAACAACAAAATTACATTTGTAAAGTGCCTTTCATATCGGGAGGATGTCCCAAGGCGCTGGACAGACAGAGTTACGGAGCCCGGGGTGTGTGGCGGGCAGGGGGAGGAAGGAATGAGATCAAAAGCACGGTCGAAGAGGAGGGTCTTGAGATGGATCATTCAGAACTCTGCAGCTCGTGTACTGTCCCGCACCAGGCTTCGGGAACACATCACTCCCACCCTCACTCGCCTCCACTGGCTCCCCATCCCCCAGAGGATCGATTTCAAGATCCTCATCCTCACCTACAAGGCCATTCACGGCCTTGCACCCTCCTACCTTTCCGACCTACTATCCCCCTACCTACCTGCCCGTACCCTCCATTCCTCTGGCTCCGGTCTGCTCCACATCCCCCGCCCCAACCGCCCTACCATCGGTGGCTGGGCCTTCAGCCTCTCAGCCCCGAGGCTCTGGAACTCTATCCCCCAGTGCCTTCGCCGCCTCCTCCCTTTCCTCCTTCAAGGCCGGTCTCAAGACCTTTCTCTTTGACCGAGCCTTCAGCTCCCTTCTCGACTCTCTACCCCATCCTCGCTCCCTCCCTCCCTTCCCTCCCCTCACCCTGATCATTTCCCCCCTGCTCGGGTCCTGACCCAACTGTACAGCGCCTTGGGACGTCCTCCCGACGTGAAAGGCGCTCTATAAATGGAATCTTGTTGTTGTTGTTGAAGGTAGCAAGGGAGGGGGTGAGGTGGAGGGACTGCAGGATGGACAGTACAACATACGCAAAGATACAATTCCCATTCACTCCGAAACTCATGCGGAGTCCTGATCAAAGCAAAAACGGGTGATTGCGCTAATCGTATTAATTCTGCTCTTATCATGCTCAGCCCTGACTGAAATGCAACAATTCTTGAAAAATAATACTGTGTTTATATGTATTGAACTGTACATAAAGAAACATACAATTTCTCTTATTATTTGTCATTTCTTAAATGGATTCTTTTCTGCTGCCTTCAGTTAAATATCTTTTTGGTGCACCTGTCCTTATATTTGATATAAGTTTGCCTCAGTTTTGACGGAATGTGTATAACATAATCTGCTCAGGGTCGTAATGCCCTAATCTATTGGAAGAAACTCTGTCCCCACTGACGGCAAGGATTTTGTTTGTAAATAGAAATAAAGTCTTTCTCTTCTTTCAAATTAAATAGGAATTTGGGAACAGGAGAAGATCTTCAGCCCCATGAAGCTGTTCTGCTATTGACCATCGCACTGACACCTCCCATAGTCACACTTCTTACCTTCTCACTCTGGAGTCGAAATTGCATACCGAACATTAGTGATGTCAATTAAGATGTCTGCCATAATTTAAGTTGTTAAGGAATAAATTGTGTTCATCTTACATGGCAAGAGCACCTTGGGTTTTCAGGAAATAGTACCTGCATTCAATCCATGGAATGGTCCTGAGATATCCATGTCTTTTCTTCTGTCGGAAATTGACAGATTGGCTGTCCTACCTGTGATTTTTTCCTTTGCTAAAGACTAACCCTGAAAAAAGTATAATTAACTTACTAACTTGTTGATGCAAAAATTATATGGAACCCATCGTCCACACCTTTTACTCAAGTACTAGCAGTTTCCTGGTATTTCACCATTTATATTTTTACTTCCCAAGTAATTATTCAACTTTTTCTTGAATCCCTCAATGATTTCTCATCTATGACTTTCTGGAGGAATTAATGCATTCCAAAGATCTATTAATGGAACACATTCTAATGAAGCTGGACAACTCTTTAGAGATTAGCTGAAATGCATTAAAGTCTCTGCAGCTAATATTGACATAGAGCTCAAAATTCCTTTGTAGACTTTATAGTTATTGATGTCATTTGGAGTGTGAAATTGTGCATGCCATGTAAAAACCCAAGTGAATTCCAAAAGCCGCTTTTTAAAGAGGAAAAAAAATCAGCACTGTGACTAAAACCTTTAATTGGACCTCATTAGCAGTTCAACTCTCTTATTTTGTTTAGTTCTGACCAAATTTAAAGTCAGTGTAATTGTTGAGGCAAGTTACAGTTACAAGTTGGTGCAGAAGGACCCAACCTGGTACAATTGGCAACATGCATCTTTAACAGAATTATTGCAGTGCTATTAACTTATAGCAATAAATGTATGTGTCGAAGTCAAGGAGGATCGTAGGTTTACATGCCACCAGAATTTCTACCCCAGATTTTCCAGATTTGTTGTGTATGCGGCTACTTCATTTATTCCTCTGTTACAGTGAGTTCTGAGTGACCAACATTTCATTTAACAATGGTTATGCAGTTTTTTTTCTCTCTCCACTCAGATACCTGTATGTTCTTTAGAATAATCTGTCTCTACTAATCAGATCATCCGGAGTTAATGCAGTAAATCACTGTCATCATCTATTTGGACTCTGGTCATGAAATAACCGTTGGGGGAATGTTAAAAAAAATTATTTCAACATGAGCAAATTTAATGTTTCTGACAGCATGTGTATGTCAAATTGTAAATCTGAATTTAAAATCAATAAATGTTGTTGTCAAAAATCTGTGTGTTAATTTCTTGGGAGGATGAATTTTAAGGAAGTACTGTATTTTCTCAGGTTGCGATGTGGTTTTATCATTGAAAACTATGCCTGATAAATAAACTTATCAATCACAGAAAGCACAGTGAAACATCACTATATCACCAGTTGGTTGGGTCACTCACCACGAGTCTTGCTAAAATATTGGTTAAAATATTTATTTTTATGCTCTAGAAAATGGTGAAATATTGTTTCAAGCTACTGGATTCTTAACAACATACAAAAACATTGCAATAATATACTATGTACCATTCTAATTTCAGAATTGTTAGAATTAAATATTTATGGCACACAGGATGATCCTTACAGAGACCAGGAATTGCTGGGATAATTCTCTCTCTCTCTCTATATATATATATACATATATATAACGTCCTATATTCTAGTGACGTCCCACAATGGTTCAACAACACAAATCAGTCCACAGTTTGACACCAATTTGTCTGTCTCACTCAGAGAAGCCAAAGGATGAATATTAAAGAAGTGGACATTGTATTATGTTCCTTATGAAGCTTATAAAGATGAGGGCATCTTTTGATAGACAGCATGATGGCAATAATTTGATATCTGCATATTTTGTGCAATGTGTCTTAAATACACTATTGATTATTGTGACCGGTTCATTTTGGTTGCTGTTGACAAGCTTTACCTTATTTCTCTTTCCTCACAAGTAAATTCTTTTCAGTCTTAAGTTATAGTAGGTATTCGTTAAACCATACCATGTGCTGTAATATGAGATATAATAAGAGATATAATTCTGCATCAGTACAGTATCTGTGGAAATTGGTACTTGGCAAACTTGCAGTAAAATGCCACTGATCCAAACTTCTCAAGTCACCTTGCTCAAAGCCATAAATACATTATAAATACAATACTTATTTTGTGCTTATATTACGATCGTATTTCTGTATGATCGTTGGCGACAAACATTAGTCTTGGGCTCCTCATGCAAAACGTGAAACACAGCTGTAAGTTCTTAATGCTGACATAGCAACAAGATTAAAGGCATTACAAGATTAGCGCAAGACATAAATAACAATGCTCATGTTTTTTTCTTTATCTACCTTGCTTAGATTTAAATAAGCAATTTGTGATGCCAGCCTTTACAAAAGTATATTTTTAATGCCTCAATTGAAAAGCTATAGACCTCAGAACATGTGGAGCCAAAAGAAGAAAAACACCTGCATCAGGAAACAAATGCATTTGTTCTTACCTTTGCTCTTAATGCTGCAGATCAGTTGAGGGATCCTTTGGAAGAGGTGAAGGAAATTGTCTCCTCTTGGTAAATAAAAAATGTATTCTTTGTTGTGATCCCAGGCTTTAAAATGCTTCAAAACTCCTAACCAACATGGAGTTTAGTCCAGGCCACTGGCTGGTTGGTCCATTTTACTTTCATCAATGAACAATGTATTAGGTTATTTACAAATATCCTCGAATCTTTTAAGCAACTTGACCGAACTCCCTACCATTCCAGGCTGCACAAATCAATGGCCAAATTCGTCCCGGTATTTCGTCTCAGATTCAAACTTGCTTTGCTTTGGCTCGACAGCTGTTTCCTACTGCATCTTACGCAGTGGCAGTCGGATGCAATTAGCAAATGACTTTTCTCGGAAATTAGATTCAAATGCTTTGGCGTCATGTCAATCAGCTTGTTTGCTCTCGCCCTGGGTTGTGTGTATTTTATAAACTAGTAGCAGCAGATGAATGACATAGTGAATTATATAGCATGTTTCTGAACACTTGCAATTGGTATTACTGCTCCCTCCCATTTACCTGCTACTGTTTATTTATTCCATTTTTCTCTCCAATGTTTTGTCGTTTTCTTTGGAACTGAAATCGTTTGAGATTAAAAAAGAGGGCTTTAGTTGTGAAAAGACCAGGCCTAAGGATTCAATCACGTGTCTGGCTAAGCAACACATTTTAAGGAAAACATTTTCGTGGTATTTAAGCTAACAATAATAACATTCTTGTCTTGAATATAGCATCACCCAATTGAACTCTCACAGGTGTAAAACACTTGCCAGTTCAGTTTTGTACTAAATTTCCTGTTTAAAACACACTATATGAATAAACTACCTAAATATGTTTACAATAATAATCCCTAGCATTTGATATAGCACATTTCGCATCAAAAGGACATCAATTCAGACATTGTTATACAATTGAACATGCAATTCTTGTAAGATATTGGAAACTGGAAATAGTTTGATATGTAGAGCTTATAACAAATAATAATCCTTGCATTTGATATAGTGCTTTTCACGTCTTCTAGACATCTCAGAGCGCTTCACAGGATATACTATAAAGTGAATTTTTATGTATATTTGCGGGCAAAACGCTTCCATGTTTTACACGTTTATTACACAGATTTACTACAATTTATAGTGTATGACTGTCTTTATCCTACTCCCGGTGATTGTATTTACAGTATGAGTGCTCTGGTCTACAAAGGCACTGATAATGGCAAAGTTAAGAAATGGAATGCTTGATATCACCATTAATATCTCCAAGGAAAGAGATAATGAACAAGGTACTAAATGAACAAGAGAACTCTGTTTGACGAGAGCTGGGTTTTCTTGGCTAAGTAATCAGGCTGCATGCTTGTTTAAAACAATACAGAATAGTATCAAGGTCATGGTCAAGGCCACATCTTACAGTCGAATATTAACAAAGCCGGAGCTAACATTGTACATCTCAATACAGAGAGAGATAAAGGGCTTCACAGCATTCCAAGTTTGTTTTATAAACCACGGTTTATTTATGAAATGTGCCTTTACATCTAAATTCACTTTATATGAAGTTTTAAAAACATCAGCTTTACATCTAAAAAAACAAAGATCTGGATGATGAGCGGATTATATGAACGCTGGCAATTACTGATCCCAACCTTGAGTTGCAAAGCTTTCCAACAATTTTCTGGGTGATTCTAAACTTTTGCAAGTTCTATCCTGCCCAATCTTATATTAATTTTCTGATCTCTTTAGCTGTCGTGTACCGTAAAGCCTTGGCCTGGTAGGAGGGCAGCAAACATTCTGTTTCCATGTTGCCGCCAATGCCACACTGTAAATGGTCAGTGGGGGTCTTTTCTATGCCTCTTCCCGTCGCTAACAGCTCAGCCCCACGCCCGGACTTAGAATCGCACAATCTAAGCTGCCACTCCAGTGCAAATGCTGGGATTGGACTGCATTGCCAGATTAGATGAGGTCCTGTCTGCCTGTTTAGATGGGTTGGTCCCATGGCACTAACCAAAGAGAAAATGAAGTTTCTCCCAGTCTCCCAGCTAATAATCCCCCAAATAAAATTGATCATTCGCTTCACGGCTGTTTGTGGGATATTGCTGGGTTCAAATTCCCTGCGGCATTCACCAAAAAACAGTCACTACTATCCTGTGAAGTGCCTCCAGATATAAGTAATAATATTTGATATAGCGCCTTATCATGTCTTCGATACGTCTCAAAGAATTGTCTCAAAGGATATACTGCAAAGTCGATTGACTGTGCGTTTTGTGGGCAAAAATGAAAGGCGCTGTGTGAAATGCAAGGATTATTTATGAGGAATACTAAGAGACTGCAAAAAAACTGATTTATGGCTGGTGTGTTGCTTTCCAGGTTTCGCAGGTTCCTAAAATAATAGAATGAAACTGCCAGACAACAGTCTCATCAGAATGTACTTCAAGCTCTTTCAGTTACAATGCTAACACCCTCAGTTTCTTCATCTGTTGCTTTTCTTTGATGTTGAATAAATAACCCCCAAAAGATTTTAAAGTAATTGGGTCCAAAGAAAGTAGGACATGATTAAAAGCTAGGCAGTCTAATAAGCCTGCCCTCTTCACAGAATATTTATTACTATTTATACATGTTTCACCCACAAAATGTACAGTCAATTCACTTTACGGTATATTCTGTGAAGTACTTTGAGACATCTTGAAGATGTGATAAGGTGCTAAATCAAATGCAAGGATTATTATTACCTTCAGTCTAACCCAATGATCGTGACTGAATGCCAACCCAACTCAGTTTCTCACCTCTAAGTTAGAATTTTATGGGTTCAAACCCCAGCGCCTTGGGATATCCTCCCGACGTGAAAGGCCCTATACAAATGTAATTTTGTTGTCGTCGTCAGGAGCTCATTGTAATCATTTGTCAACACTACAGGCACAGCATTGATACAGAATTATTTCCCTGTGAGCTAAGTGTAAGTAAAGCACAATTCTGTTGCTTTGTGCTGAAGGAGTTTTATCATCAGTTGTAAAATCATGTGGAAATTTGCCTCAGTGTACTTATAAATCAACTCCCTCCTATTCCCTTAATTTCCACACTGTCTCTGTACAATGCTTTGAGATTACCTTTTGTGAAAGGTGCTGTATAAGTAGAAGTTGTTGTAATTAATTTGATAACTATGTTATTGAATGCCCCGCTCTCCCTAGAGAGCTGACGGGTGAACAGATGTCCAGTTTAAGAACCACAAACTTTCCTTCGGATTTGTAACAATGATCTCACTAGTTCAGAATGTGCATTTCGAACGGCTCGACCTGATATATACCCACTATTCAGAGTCTGAGACAGGTTGCAGCTATGAGTCAAATGTTAGACATGCCATATCATTCAGTGTGTGCAAGCCAGTTGCTCATGCTGCATAACCCAAATGCATTACATTAAAGTGTGACATTCGCACCTTTGGTCTAATTACTAGAATTAGGACCTGATGCCATCAGCTCCTCATTATTTTTCCCCATTTCAGTTTGGTTATGTGATCACTGCCACTTTCTGACTCATATTTTCCTCTGCCAATGGTACTGTGTAACTTTTTCCACCTTGGCATAACATTTCAAACTAAATGCTTCTCCTTTGTGGAGAGGACTTCTATTAAGTTTCCAAAAAGGAAATGATCAGCAGACATATAGACTCGAGGCATCAGAAGTAATGTGCTATGGACTGTTTGTTAAGAATGTTCTGAAGATAATTTGTTTTTAGTACTGAATTCTCCCGGCAGAGTGCCATCTGACCAATAGAGCTTGAATGCTTAGTAAGCAGTGACTAAAGACATGCTTTAGGTGTGCCGTATTCCGTAAACTATAATTTGAAGAGATCCACCTCAATAATAATAAAAAAATAACAGGAGCAGAAAGAAATCCATCATATTGAAAAGTAAACCGAAGTTCAATAAACTATTATAACCAGACTTCAAAATAATAAATGATTCCATCGAATGTACATCTGATTTTTCAGAAGTTACTTTCTAAATATATAAAATTAAATCGAGAATATCTGTAGTTCTGTTTAAGAGGAGATCCTAACATCTCAATAGCATTTGTATGAAGTATTTCCTGAAAATATCAGCCTAAATGCTATGCAGTGATGCATTTCATAGGGATCTGCATTATGCTTTTTTTAAAATAAATACAGAAATCTTATAGAGGATTCTTATAGAGAAACAAAATGTTAGCAAATTGAATTGGAAAACTGTCGCTGTTTTGTGTGCAGTGTAATTTGTGCTGAGATCACAGCTCTGTACTTGTGAAGAGATCTTTGGTGCAGAATGTGTTGAAGGACGTTTGGATCAATATTGACAGGAGCTCCCTGAAACAAAATGCTGAGAGTTTCAAATGCCACGTAAGCACTTATTTGTTTTCGAGAGTAAATTTGTAGAAATATACTGAATGCCTGCTGTGTCAGTGATCCCTGAAATTACAGCAGAATTGATGAACTGACTGAAATTGTATTAAAAATTCCAAAGTACAAAGCCCTTAAACACAATGATGAGCATTAGCCCTGCAGTTATATTAATCAAAGTCTTTTCCATGTTCAGTTTTCATGAGACTGCAGAATTCTTACCAACTTTATCCGAAAATCACTGTGGGAGTCTGACAACCTGACAGTACAATTACACCCAAAAATTGAACAGGTTCAGGAAACAACGCAAATAGGCAGTACGATAACAAAGTTGGGAATAATCATCATTCCAATAAAGGCTAGTAATTGATCTCACCTTTAATGCAAAATGGAGATGCAATCTGCCCCACCAGTTGTTGCAGTGAAGTGGTCAGTCCAGTAGTTGCCTGAGACTTCAACTTTTAGGGCTGGTATGTGTGGCAATGGATCATACCATAAATTCTTCAGGTTACAGGCTGGCACAGGAAAGCACTTGACAGAATAACGGAAACTACTACTTTAAGCCAATGGTAAAAGCACTGCAAGCATGCAGTCATACTGCAGAAATAAACCCCTGGTCAACATTTGGGCTCTTATCTGTGCAAACTGCTCCTGTTGTATTTAAAGAGGCATTGCGCTGGAGTTCACTTTGATGGTTGCCTGTTGCTCCATAAACTTTCTTGTTGTACACAAGGAAACCAGTAGCTTGTCCGTAGCGTCCTGCAGAATAACTTTGGGCCATACAGAATGCGACATATCACAGTTTAACTATAAATAGACAGCTAAACAGAATATAAATATTTCTAAATTGAATTTTCCTTTATTAAGCAAAAAAAACAAAGGAAGCAGGCCTGCCTAG